GAGTCTCTTAATCAATAGATTTAGCTATTCTTTTTCTAATTTGTACATTTTTACATTTTAGCATAATACTACTTCTACACACAACATACACACAACTGAATGAATATCCATCTACATATTGTCATTCGATGATGAATTGTATCAAAACCAGTTTATTTGTTTTTGAGCCAAACTCACTCACTCATGTTAAGATAATGATTTTAATCAACATCGTATTCTCTAGACTAATAATGGAAGATTATTACTTTTACTTATAATCAACCTAAGGTTTGAGTAAGCTTGCATCAATTCATTGTGAATATTATTCAAGTATGTACATGTTACACTGAAAATGTCTAGAATATAAATCAATAAAATATTAAAAATGTAAAGTAGAAATTGAATTTAATCAATAATATTATCTTGTCTTAACTTATCTTGTTAATGTTTATGATTTCATTGTAGGATACAATATGTGGAAAATGTCAGTTCTTGTTTATATTTCAAATGTTTTTAATCCTTTAGTTAAGGTTGTATTGTGTACTCAAGCTTTTAGGTTACCACCAATAGCGAATACTTTTGTGATCGATTTCTCAAATGACACTGTTTGGAAGTTTAATTAAATATAAATTCGACAATAATTGAAATTTATAAAACAATGATTGGTTGGTTGATACTGTAAGCATCAAATCATTTTATTTTCAGGTGATGGATGATAAATACACGAATATTTATTAGTAAATAAAATACATTATTCGAATCCGTAAGATACTATTTTTGTAAAACAACACGACGATATTTTTAGGATAGAGATAGCGAATAATGTACATTGGGAACGTTAAAATCCGTGTATTGTAGCAGAGTTGGTTACCATTATTGTGATTTAATGCTTAACGTTACCTTCGAGAACTAGGTATATCAACTACGAATAAAAATGAAGTAGGGCATCAGAAGAATGTATAGCATTTTGGAACAACTAAGAGGGACAGCCCATGAGAGAGCTGGTTGGAGAATCCTGTTCTGCGGCCTATGCTACATGAGCAGTAACAAGCATTGGCACATTGCATTTGAACTGAACTGTGATTATGAATTTGGTTTTACAACATATATTACTCATTAGTAGTGTGATATTTATAGAAAATAATTGCGAACTTAGGATAGTGACAGTTATTAGACTTAATGTTTCTCTGTTTTGGAACTTAGATATTCAATATTTTACATCAATGACTGCTGTAAATAGTTTTTAAAGTTATTTATATACCTAGACTCCTCAGTGAGTTACTCACACCTTAAAGAATTATACGAAACTATTAATCTGATGTACTATTGTAATACCGTCATTTATGTATAATTTTAACAATTTCAGTATTATTTCACGATTCGATCTGTGATGAACATTTCCTGTTGATTCAAACTTAATTTATTCAAGTAAATTATGTTTGGCTAGGATTTTTCAGCGGTTTCTTCAGTCAAATGTGCTCTTTTGACTGAATCCACCTTACACAGTAATTCGTGATACTAAGTTTACTCAGAACACTGGCATTGTATTATTTAGAACGCCTGTTAATATTACGGACTTCATTTGAACAGTCTGTTAGTAAATATACTTCCTGAGATAGTCGCGATAATGCCTACAGTAACGAGTTTATATTAAATTTTGGTCGTGACTATCAGTGGAATCCGGTCCCGTTTTGTTTACTTGTCAGCTGGGTCAGTTTATGGGAAAAAAATAAAGTAACAAGTACATTTTATTGAGATACGTTTTGATTCGAACTCATTTCGCTACTATGAGCTTAAAGTAATGAGCTTTGCTAAGCCGCGAAGGAAATGTATCAGGTATTTTACTCATTACTATAACGTACGAGTGATTGTTGAGTGGCTAAAATCTGACCCGTTCTTATCTCTGTTCCGGATCTCAACATTCCTGAACTTTCTCTGATTTCGGATGTGTAAGAGGAAAAAGGACATCGTGGAAATAGCGAACGCCCTAGAACGATAGTAGTTACATACGTTTATCAAGTTAAATCTGTCAGTCACTTTGTGATAAGCGGTTAAGGTCAATTATACACTTTTTTATGTATAACTGATATATTTCACCAACTAATCAAATGCTTTTGATCGGTTACTTTGAGATAATACATCTGGATGCATGATTTAATTTTGGGCTGCATTCACTCGAGTTTCACTGGTAAACTTCAATTTACTATAGACAAAGCATTAAATTGGTTTGACAGTTCCAGACTATTGAAAAACGAAGAAATCCAAATACCTGATTGTACGAATTAGAAATCAGGCTTTAGATAATCTAGAAATTATTCTTCGATGAAAGATAGTATAAAAGTACTGTAATAAAGTCCCAGCTATCAATAATATTGTCTTGGATATCAGTGTAATTGATCAGGACAATGAAGATGACAATTAATCCGTAGAACTTAAAAAAAAGACAACTGGATGGAGAACAATCAAAACCACGAAACGATAACTGAACAATCTTAAAGCAACTTAGTATTACATTTCACACTAAGTACCGAAATCCCCTCCATGTTTAATTGAAGGTTGAGTAAGCTAACAATAGCCATGAGTTGAATCAGTCAGTTGTGACGTGGAACTTGTTACACGGCCCAATCCGATTGCTAATGACTTCGTGGACTACTGTCAGGTTTTAATTTGGCCGCCTCCAGCTTCCTTCAACTCTGATTGTAAACTCAACATCACTTGTCACGGTAAATATGAATATATCAAACTTAATATCATATATGTTACAAAGTTTCAATACGATTTACATCTAATCAAATTCAGTAAACAAAATAGTAAATATTACCGCAAAATTATTATTAAATATAGCACATGAATGAATACAAAAAGAATAAACAATTATATATATATATATATATATATATATATATATATATATATATATATATATATATATATATATATAATAACAGAAGAACCAAATTCACTGACAGAAAATACTTCAACAAAACATACTATGAACAGATTACACGTCTATCTATCTCTTACAAGTTTTATTTACACAATATAGAATAAACACATATCCTTTTATCTTAGTAAAATGAAAATAATCATAACTCGATTTAAAAATGTGCTGAATTGTTTTGCGGAAAAGGAAACACACACACACACACAGACAAAAAGAAACCATTCACAATGTGTAAGCAGGCAGGCGGGCCGACGACAACAACAACAACAACACAATATTACAGTGTTTGTGCATGTGTACTAAACAAATTAATAATTAAGAGAAAAATAATAAACCTGTAATGAATAACTTATCTGATTATTAATAATTATTATTTTATAATGAACTATACACATGATTATATATATATATATATATATATATATATATATATATATATATATATATATATATATAAGGAAAAGTTATAAAAACAAAACTACAGGAAGAAATAGGAAAATTGATAGAACTGTATTCAGGTTATGAACTGTAAGTGAAACAGCAAAGCGAAGGAAAGACGGCGAAAGAAGAATCATAATCATAATAATAATAATAATAATAATAATAATAATAATAATAATGCTATCAAAACAAGCTAACAATGGGTGTATGCATATATATATATTCAAGAATTACAAACAAACAGCAGCGGTACGAGTGGAGATGGCGACAATTACAACAGATTGCAAAAAAAAAGAAAATGAAATGACACACACCAAATAACAAGTCAACAAATTTCAGATTTTTTTTAAAAAAAAAATACTGTTACACAAATTTTGAACGAATGTGTATTTCAATGTGTTTCAGTTTCTATTTGTCTCGTTTCAAAATTTTATGCAGTATACGCAACAGCAACAACAACAACAACAATGACAACAATAATAACAATAGCAAGTTGCATACATATACATGATACCTGAGAGAGAAAAAAAAACTTATAAATAACAGAAAAAGAGAAAAGAAAAGCAAACTAGACAGACACACAATGATGAAAAAATCAAATTGGGCTGTTTGTTGTTCGTTCTTGTTGTCCAAGTGTTTTTTTTCTAGTGATATATATATATGCATGTACGTTATGTAATAATAATAATAATAATAATAATAATAATAATGATAATAATAATACACTGCTATACACAATTAGTTAGTTTGAACAGAAGAAAAAGCTTTGAATAGATCAAATCCAAAGAAAAATAATGTGAATATTGTGATGTGAAGATGATGATTATAAGCTGATATTGGTGTTCGTTTGTTTGTTTGTTAGTTAGTTTTCGTTGCCAAATTTCCTAGACAGCAGCACCAGTAGAACAGAATAGAATAGAGCAGAACAGGAGAGACTTTTTTTTATAGGAAAAAACAAACAAACAAAAAGAAAGAAAGAAAGAATAAAACGAATCAAAGAAATAGGACAACACAATTGAATATGAGAAGGACTAAGTTGTATGGCATGATGATATGCACATACAAAATGCACAAGAAAAAAATGATTTTGAAAAGGACAGTAGGTAGATAGATAGATAGATAGGTAGGTAGGTAGGCAAAGAAGAACAGATTGCAATTAGAAACGATAGTGAATTAATAAATTATGACTATGGATATATATATACTTTTTCCTGCTTATTGCAGCGCACTAAAAAGAAATAAACAACATGTGTGATATAATATTAAGAAGAAGAAGGAAAAAAAAGAGAAGCCAAACAGCACAATATGTGTATATGATGATTATATGAACGTTTTTGTTTGTGTGTGTAATTGACTAGAAGAAAAAAAAATACTGACTCGTCAGTTGTTGCTGTTATTGTTGTTGTTGATGTAATAATTTTATGTGCACAACTAATGCGATCGTTCTGTATGTATGTGTGTGTGTGCTATTGCTCCTCTATATTACTATTGTCGTCATAAAACAGAATCGGATATACACACACGCATACACACACACACACACTAGAGAATCAGTAAGTTGAACAGACAACAAAGCAACATAGAAAAAGAAAAGGAAGTAAAGCAATTAGCGTATATACCAGATAACTATACTATTTTAGTAAATTATTTCATAGACAGTAGCTTTACGATCACCAGATCCAGTGACTAGGAGTTTATCATCCAATGATATATCGCAACTCAACACAGACGAATTTTCTTTGACCTAAATGAAAATAATAACAATATAATACAATACAAATATTATATAAGGAGAACATAACGAGAAAGCTATTGGTAGCAAATGAAATAAAAAAAATTCGAAATGATACAATCAGTGCATGGACTAGGCAATGGCGTTTGAATAACAATACCATTTACAACTACCCCAGAGGAATCAGTTAAAATAGAGAAAAAACGGTCATGAGGAATTCAGAAGATTAGGATTTGAGAGAACGCAAAGAGCGGGATGCACCTGCGCCATTGCAAACGGTTTTCAGTCATATCATTCAAGGTCTCTAACCATCAATTACCATCAACTCGCGGACCCCGACCTGGTAATCTACACCTACCAACATGGCTCACTCCATTAGTCAGTAACGATTTGTGCCATGTTTTGGTTTGGCCACTCCTAGGTTTCTCCCAACCTACTTCTACACTACAAAATATAGCTCATCGAGGCAGTCGGTGGTTGGCATTCGTAACACATATCCTACCTACCTCAAATGATGAAGTTTCACTACACTACGTCCAAATACTATCCAATTATAAATGAATTCAAACTGATGTAAAAAAACAACTCAAAAAATTACTCACTTTTTTTAAATGATAGTAACCATATTGAAAATAAGTCAATATAGCCAGTTTTGTACTATATGAATAATAAAAGTTCAAATCATAAGATGTTGACATTCTTAAATCAGTTTTACAGCTATAGAACTCATTATGTTAGATATTTGAAACTGAACTTGGTAATTACACGATGGAAATTTATACAAAATATAGAACTGACCTGGAAAAGGTTAGCACCATAAGGAGTTCTCCAAGCGTACAGACAATGGTCTTTACCAGTTGAAGCAAACCATAAACCACTATGAGCAAATTTAAGAGACAAAACACAACTTTCATGCAACGACAGTTGATAACGTTCTGGACGACCAGGACCGAAAACTTCAACTTGATCTGTTTCCAATCCAACAGCTAACCAGTCTCCTGTTGGACAATAACCAAGAGAGAATATTTGAGCTGACAAATCAACCTGGCTAATTTGGCAATGTTCTCGTAAGTCCCAACAACGAACAGTTTTATCTAAACCTCCACTCCATAATCGTGTTCCATCAGGACGAATGTCGACACAAGATGCGCCTTCAGCGTGCCCTTGATATTGACGAACTAAAATACGATTGTGTATATCCCAAACACCAATATTCCCGTTTGAACAACAGCTAAAACGATAGAGGATGAGAGGATGATGTTATTCAGAAGTAAAAACTACCATTAGGTATTAAAATCATTTGACGGAGCAATAAAATGGTTTTGTAATGATTTGTCATAGGTAATATAATCGAAATAAAAAACATTTTGTTAGAAAAACTGTATTCAAAGCCATCAACTTACACGGAACCTGTGTATAAGTGATAACTTGAGCTAACACAGGCACTTACCAAATGCCTTGTTACGATCAAGGGTTAAGAATTTCCATTTTCTACCAATCCAAATAGAGTCCTATTCACAACCTTCTCGTGTTGGGGGTACTGTTTACGAAATCATGAAGACAGAAAGCGAATGTCCAACGGGACTTAAACTGAGTTGGTAGATATGAAGGACACACTTAGGGGAGTTGAAGAATCCTGATTCCAAACTATTGGTGCATATAGTCTCCAGGACCCTGAGCGAACAAATGATGTATGAACCTATTGTGGGTACCCAACTAGCATGATATCGTGTCTCCTAACGCCGCTCCACCATTTTGTGGATCGAAACTCTGGGTCAAAGGTTCGACAAGTGGCTCCCTAAGGAAACAACCCACTTCGACTTTAGCACCCGGAAAATATCCCAGTAGATATAGCGTATATAGTACCTTTTGTACCGATGTTTATATGCTTACATAAATAAATAAATGATAAATCTGGATGTGTTTCAATTCAACTAACAAAAAAAAACTAACTTAAAATATGTATGTTATGAGTTGATTCTTGAAAAACAAGTTCTATGTGTTGTTGTTTTTTTTTTAACACGGCTGCTACTCAGAAAAACAAAATAACAACATGATTAATATTTTATTCAAAAGTTGAAAAAATCTAACACAAAAATTCTGTAGAGAGAGAGGAAAATGCATGATGTATAATTGTCAGCTTGTAGTCAGTAGTTCTAAAGTACAAAACACTGTATAAAACGCATAATAATTAATTACACTACCAACACACAAGTGTATCAATTGTACAACTACTTTTCTAAGCTTTATTCATATAGATTTGCAGTAACAAATACATATTCTGCAAACCCTAACAATTTATTCAATGAACAATGTGTATATAACACGCTATGCACAATTCGTTTTAGTTAAACAAAAAATAAATGTGTACACAAGTCTAAAAATAATAATAAAAATAATAAATTGCACTGAATTGTAAATCCACGAATGTAGTTTTATATGAAAATGTGATTTTTTTCTCCTTAAAACGCTAGTCAATTTATCAATGTAGTGAATACTTTAATATATTTGCCTAGATTAGTAAAAAAAGATGAGGTGTGAAAAAAATGGTGATTACTTCATAGGATTGTGAACTAACTTAATAGGACCTTTAAATGATGAAGTGAACTGTGTACAGTTCCCAAAACGAGATGAAAAAAAAGAGACTATATAAGACTCAATTTACCGTTGTTTACAAATCAAAAGTATACTTAGCTGTTTCAGAATGTAAGGTGTGTATGTAGCTCATATGGTATCAACTTTAAAGCACAACAATCATGTTTTTCAACACAGAGTGATCTTGTAATAAAATATCAAAAATCCATCAACGAAAAAACATTACATTACAATAACTCCGCCTAATGCTTTGATTAGGGGTCACTGTCGATCCCAAGCCGGGATTAGAGAGATGGCCTGTGCATAGGATTAGCAACACCATTTCATAGAAAATAGACTTTCTAAAAATTTACTAAACAGAAATTTTCGTTTAAACCACTTTAATTCCATCCTGGGAGTTGAAGAATCATCATGATGGAAGCTGATAACCCTTGTGACAACCAGGGCAACAATTAACGTATGCACATGTGGTGTTCGCATAATGTGAAAGACCGACAGAACCATTTAAATTCGTGAAGAAATGAAAAGACACAACCAGTTATTGTTAGGAAGAATTAAATTAACAACCATCAGATATTGTAATGAATACATACACCAATCAAACAAAAATCAATGAGAACAGAAATTTGGCAAATACATAATAATTATCATTAATAATAAATAAATCATAATTACCTGAAGCATAGTTTACTATCAGGTGATACAGCCAAAGCATAACATGCTGGAGCTGCAAATGTAAGTTCACTTTTTGGATGCGGGCTAGCTTGACCCAAATCCCATATACTTAATATGCTAGATTCTCCGCCTACAACTAATGTTCTTCCATCCTACATAAAATTAGAAAAATGAAGAAAATTTTCAATTAAGGGCAAAAATTACCTTGATCTATGAAAATGCTATTGCTGAAATGGATAATAGTAAGTTATTTACAATTAAAAGATGCATAAACAATTCAAATGGAAAATTATCAATTTATATTCATTCTAACTTATTTATATTTTGAGGGAATCAGATGGCACTAGTGAGTTTATGCAATGTACATTCCGCCCGAAATTATTTTCATTGATGATAGGAAAATTTAATGACGGAACGAATATTGTCGAAGTTGGAACTGGTTTCTCGAATTGCTGTCGGTTCTGTTGTACAACTACTACTGAGTAACTAGATTGTTATGGATATATATTCCATTTGTCATACACTTACAGTTAATGCATCAACTATTGCTATAATATGACTGAATATTTTAAATTGGTTACCAGTCAAATACTCAATCTTTCCTACTCATTGTCACAGCTTGTTCACGTATAATACTTTTTGCCCATTTTCCGGTGTGAAGAGATCCAATATATCTGCATACAAATTACGTCTGTTCGAAATGTTGATATAGTAAAACCAAGTTGCTACTTTCAAACTGAACGCAGGGTATAGGAGAGGAATATGTGCATAACGGGTCAATAAGGACCTAGCTGTCCGTTTACGGTCACTAGTGCTAGTCAAGAATTTAATTGGTTAGTTTAGAGCACTGAGTTTTCAAAAATATAGTAGATATGAAATAGACCAAATTATAATTGAGACTGTTTACTGGTGACTTGGTATGCGAGATTAATCAGTGGTTTCAAGACAAAAATACATTGTGTTCACACAATCCGAAATTCGCATTCAGGCTGTGAAATTTAGACGAAAATAATCCAGGGAATAAGTGAGCTAATACAGATAGCATACTTCTCAACGTACTGGAATGATGATATAACCAGTGGGAAACATGCATGAAACATGTACTGAAGTATTTGAAATAAGGTAAAATGGTTTTTGATTTTCACTTGGAATATAAAAGTAAGCACACACAAAAGTATTAACAGCCTTGAATAGATAAAGCAGATCAAAAAATCTACTTATGAAATTTTTCTGAGACTGCGGTATTAAAGGCTTCCCAATAGTAATCCGCCAAATGACTTGATTAAGCTCAAAACCTAGTAAACTGACGAAAAACTAAGCTAACGTTTACTTTAATCACACTGGAATTTAGCCCTACACAATCGCTTTCAACAGAAGTGATCTCGTCTTTAAAACACTTAGAGATTATCCATCTAACAAATCTTACAAGTCAAGCTCATTTCTGTCGTCTATTTCAACGGCAGCTAAAAACACACTGAAAATTCATATAATATTTTCAAATCGAACGTAGGAAATAAATAAAGCCATTTGTCATAAAATGAATACAACTACAGTGTCATTTCAATTCATTCAGGAGATACTAACGAATAAGAATTTTTTAAACATGATAAAAAAACCAAATAATATGAGGAAAGCCAAATAATAATGTGGACGTTAGCTTTCCATGATTTATTTTAATCTACTAGCAAGTAGTATGAAAAATATAGCAACATTTTTCAAGTAACATTAAAGGTGAGTTACAGAAAGCATTTTCAAGTGAAAGTCTCGGTGGAGGAATAGAGTATGAAGAAATGAAGTTTGTGAGAATATCCCATTATATAGTAATTCGGTTAAATATATTCACAAATAGTTTCATAGTGTGTCAGATATCACACAGCTATTAAGCCTTGTATGAATTCTATGTAAAAAAAGCTCACTTTCACCTTCATTCTGGAATGTAAACTGTGACATGATAGAGTATAAAATACAATATTTTTGATGTCCACAAACAAAACAACAATTAATATCCAACGAAAAAATTTAAACACTGGAAGAAATAAAACAACTCTGCAATTTACTTGAGTTAGTTTAATCGATCGTATGTATTTATCGCGTTGTAAACATTCAAGGCTGGTTATACACGTTTTATTATTGATGATTGGTTGATTTGAACTGCCACCGCAATTTGGAGAATGATTAGGTGTAGATGAATTTAAATCCCATAGCTTAACGGTACCTTTACCCCCGGTGTAAATTTGATGTGTAGCATTGTTGATTGTAACAGCACACACAACTTCACCATGATCTAAACAATGTATCGCTTTTGCTTGATGTGGAATACCTGGACCAAAGAAAGCATCTGGAGTAAATGGTACAGGAGTTGGTGATTGATTATCCAAGCGAAGGAATGAATATGGCCTGTTAGAATGGAATTAAGAATAATATAGACTACTGATATATATATATATATATATATATATATATATATATATATATACTGCTAGATCGTTGCTTACAGATTAATATTTATGCAGAATAATTCGACAAATTTGATTGGATATTTCAAGTATAAATTATCGACTTCGTGATATGAACATGCTATAAGGATACTTTGAGGCATATTTACTTACTTGAATAATTATTTTTATAGGTAATGAAAGAATGAGTTATTCAACTTATTGATATTCAGAAATACATTAAATTTTATAAAAATCACATCTACGAACAAGATGTCTAGTATTTCTTCTTTGTATTTAACCAAGTTCAGAGATATATGTAATGAATTGAATGTTTACATTGATGTTATATCAACAACTTAATTGAATCAATTCCGATTGTTGGCAAATGTTGTTTGTGAGATGGTTGCAGTAATATTCTTTACAGTAACAAGTTTTACGGTACATTTATGCTGTGGACAGTAGTGAAGTTCAGGATGCGTTGTCTTCCCTTCAAGACAGTCAACACACAGATGAGTATGAGTTACTAATACATGACTAAATGAATAAATACAAATTGTAACCAGTTAATATACACGTGTTTCTTATTTATTTGCATTGAAACTAGTTTCTACAATGATGTAACCCTATTTCGTATATGTGAACACACCATATGCATTACAAGTGAACTAGACAAACTTAATTATACAATGCTTCAAATCCTTGGCTGCAGACATTTTATACATGAAATGATGAATACTCTTCTTAATATAATGTAGTATTTTTTTTCTAACGATAGAATGAGAGATGAGGAAAATGTACAAACCGCTGTGTTTTATATACTACTAGATAGGAGAACTAGCGCGTTCTAACAACAAATTACACATTAGATTATCTATACGTTATAAACATACATATATACATACATACACGCACGCACGCACGCACGCACGCACACACAAATACCTACAATTTAGTTGATGTGATGGAGAAAAAAAAAGGAGAAATTATGGGTTAAGCTACACACTTACAAGTACTATTTACAAAAGAATACACACGTAAAAAAAAGTGAACATACACAAATTGTAATTATGTATACAGAAAAATGAACAAGCATATATATATATATATATATAATATGATGTGATTATAGAACATAGACAAAGCAACTTGATATCTGAAAGGTTGGGGTGTTGAAAGGAAATGAAAGTAAGAAGGGTGGTGGTAGGAAGAGATAATGGACGGTCTAAAACAAACAGACTGTTAGGAGAATGTCATAATGCAAACTATTTTTTTTTTAAAAAAATACTCTATTGCTCTTGACCGACCGAAAGTATGTTGACATTGTTACTAGAACAAAAATTTTGGTGGTGGTGGGGGGAAGATATTTCCTTTATCTATAACTCAGGCACAGACAGACAAACAGGAAGTATACCATAATCAATACAGAATATTGAAAACAGCATACCTACACAATAAGAATACGATGAATAACGTGGGACGGGGGGGGAGTAAAGTGATGATGACAACTTGGGTGATGATCGATGCAAAGGGTGGTTCATGAAATTGCTAACACACATATATATAGAGAAGAAACATGAGCTTTGTTTGAGCATTAAGATAGGGTGGAAAGACAGGATTAGACAATTAAAAAAAATACCCAAAAGAAACTGAATAAAAGTAGGGAGGGTTGTCGTACATCATAGTAAGAAAAAAATCGCTGTTCTATAATTAAGACTTTTTAGGTAGTTTTTACAAGATGATCGCATAAAGAGACGGTTGGTGGTGGTGGTGGTGATGGTGGTGGTGAGGGTGGAGGGTAGGAGGATACAATAATCATCAAATGGCTAAGTGTAGGCTAAAGTAAAAAAGAGAAGTTTAGATAGGAGAGAATAGTAAAAAGAAAGAGTGTGAGAGAAGAAAGAAATTGAAGACAAAAAAAATTATATTTTATAAAAGCTGATCGAATAGAACAAAACTAGCAGGTACAAAAAGCATGAGACAGAACACACTACACCCCGAACAAATATACTGCTGCTAATTCAACTATGTATGGTGGTGAGTGAGGCAATGAGATGAATGAATATCGATGAGAGAGAGAGAGAGAAAAAATACAAAAAAAGTAAAAGGTTCTTCAGAGGGTGGTGTGTGTAGTAGGGGCTTCGAAATTGATGCAAATAAACAATGATTTGTTAAATATAGGAAAGAAAAGAAAAAGAAAGGGGAAAAGTAAGGAGACACGAGGGAAATAAATAAAAATTTTATTATGAATGAATATCTTTTTTTTCTCAACAAAAAATTTTCTCTTTGCTATAGAACTATATCATCAATGAGAAAAAAATAGAAAACAAAATGTAGGCAAATGTATGATGAGAATGGAGAGAAGCTATTCGAAATAAGATGACAAGATTGTTGTTATTTGTGTATACAATACTCTCTACAAGATGAAGACACACGCAGATGCACACACACACACAATCACCATTTCTTCACTGAACTGAAAACACTCAAAACAATATATATATATATATATATACATATATAAACAAAGAACCTTTCCAGCCCAAAAAGATAGGTAAATGAAATATTCAATAAGAAGCATGATGATGAGGAATATATCACCTTCGTCTGTGATGAACACAACACAAAATTGTAAAGATGACTAGATTGTAAAGGTTTATTATTTTGAACACCATAATCAGATACTACTTAACATCAAGTATTGTGTATATGGTGGCAATAATTCATGCAATGCAAACCAAAAACTCACGCTCTGCCAAGATTCGAAATTCCACTCATTCCAGAACTACCAAAGCTCGCATCAAACATCATCTAATCAGTAGACAGAGAGAGGGAGAGAAAGAGAGAACAATAGTAAAATTATTTCAATAGAAATATCAATAACATTGGTAAAATGGCATGATGTAGCGGCATAGCTGCCTTTTTTATATGAAATAAAAAGCAATTTCAAAAGTAAAATATAATCTGTAAATATATTCCACAAAATTTAAAATACAAATTTACGAAATATCATCGGAGTAATCTTAGTATCATGAAAATTTCACATCAGTAGTGTTGAATTGTCGAATTGAATGACACCATGGCTAATGGATTTATTACTGAGCCAATTAATTCAATGGAATAGATGTGACTATTGGTTTTTATTACAAAACTAGTCTGTTACAGAACTAACATTTCAAACAGACATAAGATGAAATAGTTTTGTTTGTGACAATAACAAAATCATAATGATAACAGTTAAAAAGATGAAGCAAGATTAATTTTAACAAGTTCAACACATAGATGATGTAACATTGTTTTTGTTCTAGTTTGTTTATTGAGGCACATCAATCCATAAAGATGAATGTAGTACAATAGAAAATATAAACAAGACATTGAAATAGATAAGGAGGAATTCTCAGCTTTCACTATGTCAGCTATATCGATTACAACAATAAAGAATTATACATATACTCAACAAGACTGAATGAATGAATACAATGGTTATAAAAGTCCATTACCATGTTATCGTTTACTCTATATGATATTAGTGTACCGAAGGAAAACTAGTTTGATATACTTATTTCATTTTGTAAATGATTTCTTGTAAAGTAGTAGTATGTGTCTAGTCTATTAACACTGATCAAATTCGTCTAAATGACTGCTATACATTGCATGAATCACGTTGAGATGATAAGTGTTTGAAGTCGACAGAAACACAGGAACTTAATTTTCATGCTAACTAGAACTCGTTAGTATGAAGCTCTGTAATCTTGAAGGAATCGATGCTCACTTTAGAGTTCAGACGAATTTCAACTAGAACAGAACCTATATAGAAGAGTCAGTCAGTCAGCTACAACGCAGAAATTCGTACATGAGTACATGTGGTGTGAGCTACTTATAAGTAGTGTATGACGTGAGTGTCAACGTAATGTCTGGCAGCATAATATGGGGGAAGATCAAGAAAGGAAGAGTTAGAAAACAATGGAATTTGTATGAAACGCATGAATAGTGACAATGGATTGATGTTTGGCAACAGGAACAGTCCAGTTCGATAGGATGAACTGATCTTTTGCAAATGAACAATTTACGATATGGTTTTCCGATTTTACTGAGTAACTCTGTAATTTTCGTCAAATACAATCCGGTTGCCCCCACCTGTGTTCTCGTTCACTACATACATAGTTCAGGTTGCCATACCGCATTAGCACAGAGATGTAAATATGACTTCAAATCCCATGAATGAATGCACCTGCGCCATTGCAAACGGTTTTGAGCCATGTAGTTCAAGGTCTCTAACCATCGGTGACTATCATCTCGCGGACCCCAACCAGGTAGTCTACATCTACCAACATGACTCAGTCCACTGGTCAGTGAATTCATGGGTTTGTGCCATGTTTTGGTTTGGCCGCCCCTAGCTTCCAACCTACTCCTACACCACGAAACATAGTTCGTCGAGGCAATCGGTGGTTACACATTCGTAACACATGTCCCAACCACCTCAACTGATGAAGCTTCAGCACTTCATCTATTGATCTGCCATCTCTACCTAGTACTCGTTTCCTAACTATAGCACTTATATATAGAACTTCCTGTTAACTACATCCTACCACCAGTAAAAAATTTACTCTCCTCATGATTACAATGTAAATTAAACGATTTTCAAGTGTCATTTAATTGTACATAAAAAAGTGGGACAAATTCTTATCCGATTATAGTTTTTTTTATATATAAAAGGAGAAATTAGATAAAGCACTGATATTACAGTCATAAAGGTAAGAACATAGTCATGATCAGTAAAAAACTCATCGAATTACTTATGTAATTTATTTATGAAATAAACAAAGCGATAATTGCTCACAATCTTCAATTAAGTGAATATATCTTAGTAGTATCTTTAGTTTAGTTAAAAACAATACAATATTCTAATATCTTTAAAGTTGCTAGATTGCAGACTGGCCTTAAAAAAAATAAAGCGAATTTATTATCACTATTAAACTAATGTACAGAAACACTATCAGTATTTCTCTTATGTCTATTATACACATAAGCTTGTTGTTCTCTAAAAACAATAGCCTAAATCAAACAGTGATACATTCACTATTGAGCAGAACATTATGAACTGTAAGAATATAATATTGTTGAATAATCACTGATTTTACGTTATGTGAAACTCGGCGACATAGTACTCGATAGAATAAGAAATGGAAAAAAAAATAAATGAACTGAGTATATCTAGTGTTTACGAATAAAAGACTAGAGGGAAGAGAATGAATGAGCCGATTTTTTAATAGTCGAATTCAAAATTTTGTTCATACCTCTATAAACGTTTAAGGATTCACGAAGAGGAAACCAATAAGTTTCCAACTTATATCATCAACATACCATCCAATTTGAAGGGTTGTGATTAGTAACGATAAGTGTTTCATAAATGAATACTGTCATGCTGATAAAATTCCTCAGAAATAAGCCTATTTAATCCTTGCTGTACATTTTCCCTCGGTATATATATATTAATAGAACAAAATAAACCATTTAGAAAATCAGAAAACAAGCAGATACTAAGCTGCTAGCTTTGAAGGAATCCGGATGTTGATGGAGTTTAATAACACACTGTCTGACGACCATCGAAACACCTTTTTTTTTACCTAAAAACTGAAACCATTTTCCACCATCCTGAATAGTAAGTTCTGGCAGACTGCATGGGAATGCTTGAAACGTTTATACGGGCGAGAACAATGAACTAAAAATGGGGAAGATATAGTGAGAAATCTACTTGTTCCACACAACAGTCAACAATATACCAAAGTAATGTTTTCTTCAAGTAACATGTAACTACGTAACCATGTAACAACAGCAGCCGACAATTTAGTCGATTAATAGTTCCGGTATTTAAATATCAATCCAGTTGTAGAAATGATAGTCAGTATTCCAAAAAGTTACGGTCCTTGGCTTTGCAATGAGTTATCAAACTTTATTCATAGAGAAATTTGGAATTATTGAAAATCAGCCTTTTTGTAATAGATAAAACTAATTTGACAACCTAAAGGCTTCAAAAAAATGGAAATTGGATAGGACAGAAGTTTCTCGAATACCACCATGAAAACAAGTGATACGTTGTACAGTATACACGAGTTCCTAGATGGTAAATTACAGACTTTGAAGGTGAACATCAGATCCACGAGCTTACGCAACAAAATGCTTTTTTGTCACGGTAATTATATCGATGTTAACTTTTTCTAGTCTAATAAAACAAAAACAATGATAATGATGGTCATCTATCTAATGAGATAGTGAAAAGCAGCCTAGTGGAAAAAATATGCGGACAAAGAACTAACTGCTCAATCTGATTAGCCTAATCCAGAACAGTAACTGTTGGCACATTTAGACGATAAAACATTATCATAACTAATACTATCAATACTACTACTACTACTACTACTACTACACATATGCATGCATACACACATATATATATACATATAGAATATTCGCGTACTCACTCAGGAAATCATAAAAAAATAACACAGTCGTTTTTTTTAATGATACGTTGATACAACCAACAATTGGTTGATATGCTACATAGTAGTAGCAGTAGTAGTAGTAGCTTGTATCGTATGTGCATATATGTATGCACATATAGAATCTATTTATTCATTATTAACTTTATACGATAATGATAGATGTTAGTGTTTTTGTTTGTTTTCAATAATGACATGACATGAGAATATGTAGGTAGGGGAGGGAGACAGTATATAAAAAACACAAATACAAGTAGATACGTGAATATTAGTGTTTGTATGTCGGGGGAAATTAACAAGTGGGTAAGTATATATATATATATATATATTAGTTAATAGGTTTGTTTGTAAACTAATCATCCTATTTTTCACCAGAAGAAAGAATAAGAGAGAAGAATCATCGACAACTTTCGAATCTCTATTCAGTACGATAATACCTAATAATAATAATAAACAGAGTATAAGATTATAAGCTTCACAAGACATAGTTCCATAAGTTGGGACGATATGTTACAGTTCTGAAAACTTGTGTAAATTACTGTGTTTTCTTTTTTATTGGATATGAAAGTATCTGTTATTAAAATGAATGAGAAGTGAAAAGCTTCTGTATACATAAAGAATTGTCAAACCACATATACTGACTAATCAATGGGCATGATACAGGTTTAAAAAAAGGACAGTTTCAACGATAAACAAACAAACAATAACTGTATAAAACAGCTCATGCAATAACTTTAGGATCAGCAAGACATGTAGTATGAACAAATTTAGTCAACATCTGTAGATATTTTTCCCGATAATTCAAAAGAAATAAAGACAGACAGCCATATACCAGCCAACTATCATCAATCAACTCAATAACCAAGGATATAACCTTTGTGTACTCGATTTGGAGTCATACTTATAGTATGATACTAGCAAGGTTCACAAAATAATTGTATAAAGGGTGAATGTGAAGCCTAACTATGGATGAGAACAGAAAGAATTTCACAACATAACAAGCACAGGTTTCAGGAGTTAATAAACTGAACAAGTGAAACATATCACTCGGATTTGCAAACTACTACAACTTTAATAACAAAGTCATGAAACAACAAAATTGTAAAGATCAATAATAGGGGGACTGTGAAGATTGCTGACATTTAGAGTTTACATTAAGAATTTCCATAAACTCTCTATCGTAATGACTAATGATAATCATGTTGTCAGCAGAAACTAATTTCTAGAGGTAATCCACACGATTCAAGTGAGGCTGTGAGCAGTAGAGTATCAACCATTTGAGGCATTTACCGACTGATGGCATTGGAAGATAATTGTAAAGTATAGCAAAATGAATGAAGGTAGAAACATAAATCACTAGATGCGAACGCAATAGCCTAAGAGATAAATGCTAGTCTCGAAACTTGAAATTCTTTATTTTGAACACAGGTAGAGTTGTGGATATACACTGCTGAGGAATCCCATATTATGAATAAATACTTGTCCAATGTTACTTGGTTTGTAATTTTCATCCAAATAAGATCAACTATTGATGTAAGAATTAGCGTGACTCTTTAGGCGTTACGTTACAACGTAAAGTTTAGAGGTTTTAAGACAGAAAGTTGGAATGAATGAGCTAAATAGTGAGGATTTTCAAACGAAAATAAACACTATGCTAGGGTATCATCCGAAGGCAGAGTTGGTTGGAGTGACAGGGGTATGTTAGGTATCAATTTTCAGTACAGAAATTATCCGAAAATGGAATGCTGTTCACATTGTAGATGCATTAAAAACAACAAGGTTTTTCGGAGAATTTATATTGGGGAAAGAAACAAGAATTCAATCAACACTTTAGCAGAAAATTCTGTATATCTAAAAACTACTTACAGCTGACGATGATGTTGTCGTCGAAACAGAAGGAGGATTTTGTTGTGCAGACGAAACAGGATGACCATCAGAATTCGGTGTCAATGCATCAGAAGTAATATGAGGCGGAGACAAGGAAACAGCACCAACACCGGGTAGATTGACACCACTAGCAGCAACCATAGAAGACAAAGGACTAGGTATTGATAATTCACCTAAAGAAATTTAAAAGAAACCACACTATGATATACGTAAATAATTTTATATCTGAAAATTTAATACTGCGGTGTTTATCATTCATATTTCAGTGTAACAGTCAGGGAAAAATTGATCAAGGCAACGTATCTAACAATCTCTTGAACGAAACAGTATATTTATGAAACTATGTATCGTTATTTTTCAGCAACATTCAAATGACCAATTTATTGTAATTTTATTTAGGAAAATTACCAACTTAGGGCTCTCTTACACTAGAATAAATTGCTATCAAATCATAACGATACCTTTAATTTAATGTACGTTTAGTTTTTGGGTGATAATCTATGCTTAAAACAACTTATTGATCAGACGGCCATAGAAAAAGATTAGCATTAAGGAAAAGTTCGTTTTACCGAAACATTTTATAGAAATCTACATGATTTGCTTTATCATAGTCTTAACAAAGACGATCTATAAGGCTGCAATGAAAACAGAACTAAAACATAAATATATGATGCACATAATGGCGCATTAGACAAACATTATTATTATTATTATTATGATTATTTTTATTTTTATTGAAAGAGAAGTCCATCTCACACCCACTTCAGTAGTGTATCAGGACAGATGATCAAGCAATATTAGAAACACAACTAACAAACCAAATGATAGCTTTAATTTTTCCCACTACACCACCTACCTACCCACCCCTCTACTATATAATATTATTTATTATTGCCATCCCAACTAGGTCATGAAAGCGAACACCACCACCACCACCACCCAACAATATTTTGTTCCAGTTACTAGCTATGACTAGGACAACATAAAGGTGGAGAGGATTGAGGTGAAGGAGCAATTAGAAGTGTGTTGTTTCGTTGTTATCACTGATATAGCACTGATGTGATATTATTAGTGAATAAAGGCATGCTGAGTCGGATAAAGCTTATAACATATACAAGACATTGATGACGGTGATGGTGGTGGTGGTGTAGGTGGTGTACGACATACAGATTGTATAGTGTGGTGAGGCGCATGTCTAATCGATAGAAAAATGATGGTGGAGGCAAGACGAGGAAATACAGAAAAGAAAAAAAAACAAAGATTAATTGTATCTGTTAGGAGGAAGAAAGAGAGAGAATGAGAGCAATGAGGTAAATTTATGCCATGTACATGCCATATAAACCAAATGGCATGTTAACATTAGTAGGGTGGAGAAAACAATAGAAAAAAGAATATAGGCTATTTCTGTTATTAAATATATGTACAGTGATAGAGCCTAAAATGAAAGGTCTAATACGTTTTTACAAGGAATTTGTTCAGAGGAACTGCATACACACAAAATCGAACAAACATTTGTATAGGTGTATCTGTGAGTTAACACATACAAAAGATATATACACTATTTTTATAATACATAAATGAATGTATGCACACATTATTGGGGGTGTGTGTGTGTGTGTGTGTGTAGAAGCAGAGAGAGAGATAGAGAAAAACAAAGAAAAAAGATGTGGATGGATTGACTATATGAATTGCTATTAGTATTAATAATTTTTATATTAGGGAGCTTGTTTTCAATTCTCGCGACAGTTGAAGCCACTATATATATATATATATATATATATATATATATATATATATATATAGTATAAGTTATACGTGATGTTTATGTGGTTGATTTATTTTTACGACAGAACCAAAATAAAAAATATTTATTTTCTCATCTTACATATAAAAATCACGAACTATCAAATGAACTAATCCTAGAACAATCTGATTGTCAATGTTTCATTATGAACTTACTTGATGCCAAAGAAGAAATTGAACCTATTCTGCATGAATTCGATACAGTTGTAGTGATAGCAGCTGCAGGTGATAAAGATGATTTCATATTAGGTGTATTAGCATGTTGTTTATTATGAAATGCTCCAGTTGAAGGAGGTGGCAACGATGGATCAGTACAAGTTGTATGTGATTGTTGATTTTGTGATGGTGATGTAGTACAACTTGGTGCACCACTGCCAGAACCACCACCACCAGCACCACCACTACTTGTAATGATAGCAGCAGTAGTAGATGCAGCAGTCAATAGAGGCGGTGGATTTTCATCAGATTCTTTATGATCTAATTCAAGTGAATGATCTCGTTGTGCATGGTTATTTGTGGTAGTTGTGGTGGTGGTGGTGGTGATGGTGTTGTTATGATTCTGATTTTGATTATTATCAAGATGCGGTAAATTCAAACTGCTACCAGTAGTAGAATGATTTTTATAAACAGAAGAATTTGGTCCACTACTACCACTACCATTATGCTTTGTTGATGGAGTACGTCGACCGGAAGAATTTGAACTTCGAACACGAACCTGTGTATACAATTTTATATGAAAAAAATAATCAATGATAATAATATCTATGGCATTACGATTCATAGTGAGAAAAAAAGTTGATATTTCAGTTATGATGCAACAACTAACTATCTAATGAAAATATTATTACAATGTTTGAATATCAGTAATGAAGCTTTGATTATTTATTTCAAATAAAGTTGAATTATTCGATCAGCTTCAAAAAATAACACGATATACAATAGACTTCTGCATAATTTCAAAGCAATCCAACAATAAATAGCATTGTATTGGTTAGAACTGTGAATTTAATCACTGATTAATAATGTATTGTTCTTAGACATCATGATTCCTAAAACTGATTCGATCTATGGTGGGGGTCATGTTACGTATGCGCACTGTTGAGAGACTATGAATTAGGACGAAACAACTGTCCAGTGTTTCTTGGATTTTAATGGTTATTTAACTAGGATCTATGATGTAAATTGTAAGACTCTTGAAGAATAAAGATTGTTAATTATTTATTGATCCATAGGGATACACAAAACTACTTGGATTATATGTATTATGGTCAATGTTTACTAGTCAGTGAGATATATTACCTATAAAGTTCATTTCCTGCGTTTGACACTTGATCATGATTTATTCAACCAACTCCCTGCTTATGTATATATATATTATTTATTTATTTACAAGATCAATTCGAATAGTACCCAACTTCATGTGTTCGCAATTAGCCAGTGATTCATATTTTATATGGGTGCTACAACAGCAGCTACTCACCATTCCATTTTCTTCCAGTGAAATATTGCCAACTGCATTACATTTGTCACCGGAGGTAGGCTAACAACAGAATTAAAAATGAATATAGTATTTATTATCTGTGTAGATAACAGAAATAATGCGATACCTCAAAAGGGTACATTGCCTAACAATACAAATAGACAAAGATCTAACATATGTGTGTATTCCTACGTCATTGTATGTGATACAAAGGCTTGGATACAAACGTGCACTAGTTTTATGTGTAGATAATAGGGACCATTCGATAAGAAAACTTGTAGAGTAATTTTCTTTACTGTTCTCGTAAAATTTTCAGTGTTGAAGTTCAATTATATCAAAAAAGCAATATGCTACGATACTTCTCTAGGTGTCAACATATTTCGACATAGCTGAACATACCAATCTGTATTTCCCAAAATGAAAATGTTTTCAATAGTTTCATTAAAATCAATGTTACACCATCATTAGGAAACGCATCCAAAAACCCTGGATGCTAAAACCCAACCAACGATTTTCGGCCTCGCGCACGAACGCTTAACCTCTAGAGCACTGAGCCGACATCCAACGCTGTCAATGTTTAACTTCAATCAATCCACAATATTGCGGAAGCGCATCCATTGTCTTAGGCGGGTAGTTGCCTCATAACCCACACAGTTGAATTCCGATGGTCACAGATTGACACTAGTGGTTGCTACGTGCGGATTTCGTGGATGCGCATTGCTGAAGAGCCCCACACTACGGCAAAACGGCCGTCTAGTGCTTCAACATTTCTAACAGTGGTCTAACACTGATCGATTCATGATTTTAGTAACATTAAATGATCTGCATAACCCTATAATGAATATTTTCATTAATTCGTCAAAAATTTGAATTAATCAAATCAATTAATGTATTTCTTATTAAAAAAAACACACGCGTTGAATAGCAATATACATCACCCTTATATGAGAATTTTCATTGGGCGTTTAAAAAACAAGGTTAACAGATTTGTTAATGTATGACGATATGATTTTTGTGATGAATAACATTTTACATGCTATATACTTTCGGAAATTCATAAGTACTATTAAGTTTAGAACTGGAGTTTATCCTTAGTAATTACAATTAAAAGTCTAATTCGTTAAAGCTCAAAGAAGAAATATATAGTTACCACGTAGAACTTCGTACGTACGCACATCAGTTCAAGTTGCCATAACACATTAGCACAGAGACGCAATTGTGACTTCAAATCCCATAGTAGTAGAGGTAGTAAAGGTATTAACAGTAATCGGAGAGATTAGGGTTCGAAGATATGATTCAAGAAGTAGAATCTAGTGAAATAAACTTAAAAAGAAAAAGATAAAGGTGATGAGGAATTAAGATTAGAATTTGAGAGAACACAAAGAGTGGATGCACCTGTGCCATTGCAAACGATTTTGAGTCATGTCATTTAAGGTCTCTAACCATCGATTACTATCGTCTCGCGAACCCAAACCAGGTAGTCTACAACTACCAACACTGTCCATTTCAGATGTCAGTGACTTTATGCATTTTTGTCATGTTTTGGTCTGACCGCCCCTAGCTTTCTTCCAATCTACTCCTTCACTGCAAAATATAGCTCGTCGAGGCAGTCGGTGGTTAGCCATACGTAACACATGTCCCAACCACCTCAAATGATCAAGTTTCAATACTTCATCTATTAATTTGCCGTCCCTACCTACTACTCGTTTCATAACAACAGCATTGTTTACTAGATGGTCTCAGGATATACGAACAATGATTCGAAGGCACATATGATCGAATAATAATAACCTACGAATATCCTCTATTCATAGTGGCTATGTTTCATACCCATTTATTAGGACGGGGCGAACTGCTGTGCAGTAGACCCGTCCTTTGGTTAGCAGACGGATATCTCGCCTACGCCATAAGTGACGCAAGTTGGCAAAAGCCAGTCGAGCCTTCCATATCCGTGCTGAAATTTCGTCAGACAAAGACATAGATTACTGTTAATAAGATATGGATGAATTTATGAGTGATTTACAATACTAAAAGATAGAATACATAAAACAGCAAAATTTAGTACACTTAAAAAAATTACTGTTACACAATAGATTAGAAAGAAATACGATGGAAATAAACGTACTCTTTCAGTTTTACGACGTTTCTCATCCGGTGCATTTGAATGTACATCAAGTAAACCTGGAGATCGAGAATTTGCACGTTGGCGACTTGGGCACGAATTAATGCTAGGTACAGGTGTTGAACTTTTTGATGGTGGTAAAACAGAACCTGGATTAGAAAATGTTGATGATATAGCCGATGATGTTGGTGGTAAAATACTATTTGGACCAAACCCAGATATATCTGGATGCATAGCACCAAAAAGTCCAGATGATAAAGGAAGATTTGAATTAAGTCCATCATGCATATCTGGATTCATGCCAGCCGCTGCAGCAGACTGAGCAGCGGCAAAACTAGCCATTGTAGCCATTAAATTATGAGCATCCATGGGTGAGGAGCCTGTTAAGTTACTAGACCCAAAGTTCAGCGGTAAGCCAAAAGTTCCCGGTGGACCAGCTTGAGAAGCGGCGGCGGCAGCAGCCATCGCTGCAGCCATTGCCGCAGCAGCTGCTGTCCTCTGAAAATGACAACAAAAGATTTATGCATTAGGAAAGAAATTAATTATGACGAACAAGAAGGTAAGATTATCTAGTTACCAACTACCGAATTTCTATATTTCAAGATCGGTAAGCTTAAGCAAACTAGAGCAGTGAGATCATGTAGTGGAACGGTGTGGTTCAGTTTTGAAGGATATTTCAACCCCAATCTTACTTTAGCCAACAGTGAAAGTTAAAATAAAAAATGAAACAGAATGCACATAACCCACTGAGTAGTGCAGATTTTCAATACAATTGATCAACGAATATTCTCTAACTTGGACTTTGAATCTAGTCTGCTGACATAATTCAAACAGAAATTATTGTTTAGATGCAAATATGAGTAGTGAATAAACAATGATGAGATGGTTACTCCTTTATCCTATCAATTTAGTAAGTTGTAAGAACTCGACTACCCGACGTCGATAACTCAGCAACGCTCTATCAAAACGCTCTTCAGAACGCAGAGAGTAGAAACTAAAACACAATTACATAGCTCAAATCAAGTAAAACAAGAAACAGATTAAACCTATTATTATTATTACTGAATTACAAATTTTATGAATAACCAGTCAAGTTGAACAAAGTGTAACCCAAACGGAAGATGACAAAGTGCATTTTACATAAATCCAATCAACGGTTTTATTAAAGAACAAGAAGTCTATTGAATCAAAACATATAATTACTCCATTATTATTCCAACAGTTGTTTTAAATAATGTAGTGAAACTGAACATTTTAAACCGGTGATCGTAACAAAAGAAAATCATTACACATATCAAGTAAAAATGTAGTGTGACTCTCTACGAATACAGTTTGAAATTATAATCAATTATGTGATAAATCATCTTAACATTGATATAACTAACTAAATAAAATATCACTTAGTCAACTATCTACATTGTAACACAAAGGTATATATTGGACAGCCACCTTTCGATTAATGATCTAACACTTATGTTAAAAAGTATACTACATGTATATAATTTGAACCTATTAGAATAAGTATTATTTTTTAACCGTAGATATTTCGATGAACAGTGATGATCAATAAGCTTTCAGCAATTGATTCATCGATTAGTATTTGAGAAAATGAGTTTTCGTCAACGAGAAAAGCTTATTTTTGAATAGTGAATGGTTGTGTTTTACAAAGAAACCAAACAATATGGAACTCACTCACTAGGGTAAAGAAAAGAGTAAGAAAAAACAACAAATGAGATGTACCATGGTAATTGATCAAATAACCTTTAACACTGGAAACAAGGTAATGGTTTTATTAGCAGCAGAATCTATTATTCAATTGGTCGAGTTAGATGTTTGATAACACTAGAGACCAGAGAGTTTCTATTTGAAAATTAGCACTTCACCAACACCATCATCATTATTGAGCAAAAGAGGTTTCAATCAAGGTGTGATAACACTCTAATTATTCAGTGTTCCTATGCAATGCTGGTTAAATTTCAGAGGATAATCATCATCTTAGTGAGGGATGATTGTTTTTTTTTCGGGAGGGGGGGTGGACAGAACAAGCTCATGTAACATGCATAGATTATAAAAATAATGATGAGATGATTTTCTTTACGACCTACAGTCAGAGCAATAATATTTTCAATTGGTGAGGTCATGTCAACAGTCCTACTACTTAATGATAATAATGACAATTACAAACAAACAATCGATGCCCATTCCATCCCACTTAAGGTTTACCGAATACATACATCCATTTACGTTCCGATAATTCTAAACACAAATTGAAACACATGCAGACATGAAGTGCACACCACTCCCAACGAAAAAAATGTTACATATTTACAACTTGGATTAGACAAACACGTCTTGTCCAGTGAACAGTAATTGCTTTTATGACTAAAATTTTTTGTATTGTTGAAAGTGCTTTGTGCATCAACAACAAAAAAAACACAGTAATCACAACCTAAACAAACGTAACCTGATGTCCCAGACACACAACAACATACTGTAGCAAACAAAAAAAACTAACACCTCGTATTTGCAATAGTTGTCTATCTACCCCTCCCTACACATGGTATTGCCAATTCTCAATGAGCCTCCAAAATTGATAAGAGGTTCATATGGAGATACTGAATTAATTTGTGGTTGTCCAAACAACCATCACCACCACCTACCCTAACATTTATTTTATCATCACCCCAATATCCAGAATATAGTTGAATGGCCTCGACGGCACGCAGACAGACCTTCTACCACCCTAATAAACATGGTACGTCTCAGTCTCACCACCCTATAACAGGATACCATAAGCCTTCCCCCATCCCACGCGAAAGCTGGTCAAATAGGATGTTTTTTAAGAGGTTGGGAGACGTTTAGTCAGACATCAAATTGTATCGGAAATAAGATGCGTGTGAAACTTGGTGAGGGTGACTTATGACCACACCCAAACACAGACATGAAAGCTACAAGCTCTCGATAGAGCCGAAAAGACTGCTACCACTAGAATGGTGAAAAGCATGTATAAAATAGAATGGTTGAAAGAGCTATGTAGAAAATAAGGTCTCTGATCAGCGGACATTTGATAAATACTGATAATCAATGACAGCCAATGCACATTACAAAAGGCATAATGAGGATGAACAAATATCAGCACACGGACGTTGAAGCGTTAGAAAAAACTTCGCTTCAATTCCATACCACCTAGTTTAAACGTAAAAGACAGTTATTCTCAAAGGATAACTTTGAAAACTTCTTAAATATCCAATGTCTTAAATATCATGAATTACTCGAAGCTGGTATACAAAACAAATGAAAATAGGACGATCATGATAAACAAATTACAGAAAGGTAGAGGGAAGTTGATGTATTCCAATCAGACTTTGTATTCATACTTGGATGCCTTAGAAACAATAACAAATTTCATATTTATGTAAAATGAAAATATTTTCAGGTCTATTGAATAACTTTCTCAATGAACAATTTCACATGGTCCATGGTCGGAATTTAATTACTGAAATTATACAATTTATCAAGACTACATCGTAAGGCCAATATTGAATAAGCATCGGTTTTCTAACGATGATTGAAGAAAATTCAAATACTTCACTTCTATCTGAAGTTTGAACTGATGATGTTGTTTAGAAGGACAATGAAAGCTCCACAACCAAAACATCCAGCTCAGAGAACGAAACTTCACCACGAGAAAATCTGAATACATTTTATTAGTTTACTTTACTTTGATGTAGTTGTTACTATAGTTACAAATTTAATACAATTTACTGCATTACAATCGTTACAAGAGTACCGTCTTTAGCAAACAAAGGAAATTTAATTTATATGGTTGATCTACTGAGCGAGTAACCAAGTAGTACGATGAAACAAGGTTACACGACCAGTAAGAGGTGTTAACATTGGAAAATTCCCCTGGTCTAAGCCACAATTACTCACAAGTTGGGAACAGGGACAATTTACCTGTCTGTAAATAAATCTTAGTTGCTCGTATATTGGTTTGATGATTAATGAGGTGACTTTCTTACAAACTTGCTATTTCTCGTATTAACATGAATTAATCAACAGTTCACAGTTGCATATAGTTAGATAAGCCAGATTGCAGAATCCAAAAGTAATAGATTTTTTAACAATTCGTGCTGTATTGAATACAACATATTCAAAAAGCACTAACAAAATAACTGCTAATCATTGAACTCATAAGGTTAAGTTTGAAACTTAAGGAGAGAGAGAGAGACTTAGATTATATACAATAGATATTTTCTTAAAAGCGTAATAATAATAATACCTCTATTCAATATTACACGTTTAACTCAATATGGAATTTTGAACATAATCATTTGTATAACTGATTGGTGATAAGGTTCCATATGCATCAATATTGTGATAGGCCGTCATGCAGTGGAATGAAAATCAATCTTTATCATAATGAGGTCCCAAGTAAACCGCCCTAATGATTTCATTAAGAAAAGTTTGAAGAATAGATCTACACAAAGACTATGATCCTCACATAAGTTTAGCAATCCAATCGGAAAAAATATGTATATATGTCATGTAATTGATTATGAAACGCAATGGTGTATTAGTTTAACACTATACAGGATACCTAACAATCAAGTGACAAGTGTCTTTTTTGCTAATTCCGGGCGTCTAATTCATGCCTCGGAAAAACACGATCACCACTACGATGGCGAGAGAGCAACAAACGGACAGACCAATTAACACACCCACGTATCTGTTTGTCTAACATACAAAATATATACAAAGACAAGCAAACGATCGAACTATAGACAGGCATAATAGACTTGGAGGTTCAAACAGAGAAAATGTTGGAGGCTCATATAGCAAAATACACTGGAAACAGAGACAACTATCAATATAGCATATGAAGTATATGTTTTCACTACAATAACCACTCCAACACTGTTAAGATTGTTATAACAAAGGTGGTGAACAGAAGGTGGGGGTTACATACACACTAGTCTGTATGACAGACAAAACATGAAGTTTATTGTATATAAAATCTTCATATTGGTTATTGTATTATAAACTATATCAACCCCCCCCCAACCAAACAGGATTATGATGTTTCAGAATATTTTTGCATATATATACCTATGCCAATGGAGCGATAACTTTTGTCTTTCTCAAGTGGAGAGTTTTTATACAGAATAAAAGCTGCAGGGTGTGTGTGTGTGAGAGAGAGAGAGCAGTAATACAAAAAACAGGAAAAAAATGAGTTACTGAACGAAGTCAATAAAAAGAGTGAGGAAAATAATGACAGTTATCAATTTAGATGGTCGGTCACATACACACTGTACAAAACATATGGGGTGTCTATATCAGTATAGAAGGGGTTATCACACAAATACTCAATCGTATAGATACAATGACAGTTCTTCCGTCAGTAGAAATATGTCAAGTGTGTAAGTAAAGTATGTTCGCTTTTCAACATTCATTCGAATACATTTCAACCGTCTTTTTGGTTATTTTTTTACAATTTTTTGTCTGCTTCATCGTTATGGCTCAACTGGAGCTCCACAATCTTTCTGTGACAACTTGCACGGATGCATATCACACCATTGTATTGATTATCAGTTAGTTAGTTAGCGTTTTTTTTAGAATTATATTCTTTCTACTACAACATTACCGATAGTTATCATGAGTAAAAACCCAGAAATAAAAACAAAATGTTGATCATTTAAACCTCAATTAATTCACCAATATTTATGCAAAATGATATAGAAAAGTACACAAAGCAGTTGTCAGCTGGAGTGAATGAAATCACGAAATAAAAGAACCCTTACCTACCTATTCTACATTGATATCAATCATTTATAAATAATGTTGTGAATTTTTCCAATAATGTTGACAAGAATTTCACTGATTGAGATCATATAAACATATTAAGTGTGAAAGATAAGAGATTTGAATAAATGTATAAACATTTTAATAAATTCTAGTGAGTTCCATATATTATTTCGTATAGAAGAGAAGTGTTGCATGATAAACAGGTCATTCAAAATTAAGAATAAGAAATTATGAGTATATTGAAACCAATAAGTAGTAATATACATAGATCACTGGGAAATACAACATAGAAATTAAAGAAAAACAGAAACAATGTTCTTCTAATGAATAATTTTTTTTTAGAAAAAAACGATATAATCACTCAGTGATAATATTCTACATACATTATCAATGTCCCTTCGTTCTCATGTTAAAAAGAAGAAAAAGTGTATATCAAATGAATAGTGTATACACAGTAATTGAGAAAAATGAAAGCCCTATCTATAGAGTATATATATATATATATATATATATATATATATATATATATATATTGTCAACAGTTGTTAGGATTTTGTGTACATATACTAATAGCATACACAAGTGAATTTCTGATTAACAACATACAATTCTATGTTGTTGTTGCAGGTAGTCGCACGCACAAAAACACATCTGTATTGTATTGTAGATATACACAGCTACACAACAAAACAAGCATACAAGCATCAATAACAATCAACAAAGCATTAAACATAAACATGTTTAACAGCTAGCTAGCTATATACTGTGACAATTGAAAAATGGTTTACATATACACATTATATACACTACTAGATACATGAAAAAATTAATTGTATAAATAATGGAGTGTACTAGTACTAGTAGATAAATATAACGTATGAGGGGCATGTGGAGATTATTCATTATATGAATTAAGGTTTTCGCCTAGCACTGACTTAAATTAGGGAGCAATTAATGGAAACAAAAAGAGAACAATTCTAGTTTGAGACATTATAGCCGTGCAAACTCATGGAATTACACAGAACATTTAGGGACTCAAGAGGAGAATGATATGCTGTGACTACTAACAAGTTAAAAGCAAATGGTGTACATTATCAGCTTCAGTCAGTTAACAAGAATCAGTGAGTGTTATTGTTACGGGTATGTTAGTTTTGGTCTTAACGACCTGGGAGCGTGACCGCAGTGCCCAAGGGACAACTGCTTGAGGCCGGTCACGCACGGCCTTTTTACGAAGGGTTTTTTGAGTATTAGCTCCGCTCTTAAAAGCCCTTAGTGAGCACCCTTACCGACGGAGACGGAAATCCATGAGGTAGGGTGAGGTGTGACGTTTTTAAATTCGACCTTTTATAACCCTTCCTTCCTTGTGAGAAGGCAGCATCGCTGCAGATGCTGGTTGTCCAAGGGAAACACCTTACTGCTGTCACAGCCCTCTGCAGTCAGCAGTATCACTTCGCCCTCAGACCTTGAGTAGCTGCTTTTAGTCTCATCGTTTCCCGATCGACCTGCATGGCATGGTAGAACCTACAGAAATATATGTTCCAGCCGGTATAGCTCGATTGGGTCATCACGATAGGCAAGCCCGACCACCACGTCAAGGTAACAGCTACGGTCGGGCTGAATGAGTGTTATTAGTAGGGAGCTTTCTTACTTTTCATATAATTAAAAACTAGTAGTCACAACTTTTCATGCTCTATTCCTGATTTAAGTGAACCTAAAACTCATCAAAATAACTGAAATAAACAACGTAAGGTTTTACACTGTAGCACCTGAATTAAGGTGGCAAGAGAAATGCAAAAAGACAACGAACCTAATGCCTAAGACAATAAAAAAGCTCAAAATAATAAAATGAAAAGAGTGAAAACGTTTATAGGCAGATGAAAATGAAACCAATTAGTTTAGTGTCAATAACTTTGAACCATATCAATGAGCTATTCCATAAATAGATTAACATTATCAAACTATAAGCAAGAATTTCACATTTTTATTAACAGCTCAGAGATCCTGAATGATACAAGTTTAAACCGATTCAGTTCAAAACTTTATCCAATAGTTAATAATATTGGTTCAGTCCTCTGAGTGTGAACTGAGCAATACTCAGTAGGTGACTTGAAAATATGTAGAAAATTATTCAAAGGTATGTATGACCAAATACATACTCACTAATCTTGACAAAACCAAACTGTGCCATCGCCTTTTTGGTAACTGGCTTTTCTGTAAGTTTTGTATTCGTAGCTCACTGCTGTTAATAATATCACTGTGTAAGCGTTCTGTCACAATATATTTTAATCATCCACTTTACTATGTTCTAAACACCCAAAATCCATATGTACCTCCTACAGATTTTATAAAGATTCTTATTGTTCTTAAAAAAGACTCGAAGTCATCCAGGGTTACCTAGGTATCAAGCTCATCATACGCCTGACTAGATGCTTTTTAATTAATTCTTAAACAAAACAATCACATCACCTTCGAATTGAGCTCTAGGAAGTTATCAACTCTAAAGATCAGTTATGACAACAATATCGATCTAAACCCGCCATTTAGTTGAAACTCGTGGTCGGATATATGAACTTATATCAAAAAATGGTACCCAACAAATTCAGACGACTGTCAAACAGCAGTTACTTTAACGATAATGTGCTTACTGAGATAAAATATGAAAAATATCACTTTAAAGTCTATAAATATTGGTAAGAAGGAGTCCTAATGATGACTTTTCTTTTAGCGCACCAAGTTGAAGAATAAACTATTTTAGGGATTGAAGAATTTACAAATTATCTTAGACTTTAACAGTAAGAGCAGTTTATAAACAACTGACAAGCAGATTCTTATCATAAGACTGAGAAAGAAGCCGAGTCAATCACCGAACATACAAGCTGGAAAAGCAGTTGAATAAAGAAGCGTTAAACAAATGAGAAAATATAACTAAGATTTACGTAGTAGTAACCAAATGAAAAGTACACACAGAATATGCAACCGCGCTTTATATGCAAGAGAAATTAGAATATATGTGCAAAGAATGCAGAGGATAATTACGTCAGTAATTTGTAATCAAAAAATTGTTTTTAGCAAAACTAATTGTTTAAAAGTTTGTAATTAGACTCACTTGTTTTTCATCTAGATTTTTGTCACTAATAATGGCAGATAGTGCAGCCGGAGATATCATTGGCGGGAATGGTGGTTGACCAGTCACTCCATCCATTGGGAACATTAATGGTCTTGGGGCATTCGGATTAGGCAAAGAAGTAGAGGTGGGTGAGAACGGTGTATGTACCCCAGAAGCAGAACCATGATATGATGGAGTCGCCATAGATGTACTGGAGGATATGGATGATGGTATTGAAGCACCTGTAAGATTATTACTGGTTCCAGGAGGAAATGAAGTTGGTATATTGTTGATATGAGCAGGGATTTGAGAATAAGGATGACTATTGTTGTTAAGTAAACCACCGGATAATTGATTCATAGTAGGATTCGTGTTACCAGGAGGGAAGCCGGCAGCAGCTACTGCAGCCATTGCTGCTGCGACCGCCGGGTGAGATTGGGCAAGACCAGAAAAGAAGGCCGGATTATTGGGTCCTGGGATACCAGAAAGGGATGACTGAACACCGGAAATGTTGGGATTCCCCACAGGATTAGTATTGGTAGTTGGAGGTGTAGCTGAACTGGTCATTTGTGGTAGAAATGGATTGGGAGGCAAGAGTAAATTATTAGGAGTATTACTATTTAGAGCTGGGAGTCCACTACTTAAACTGTTAATTCCGGTGCATGGGGGTGCATTAAGCCCGCTTAGGCTAGTTAAAGATGGAGTGGTTTGCGTTCCTCCTCTGGACCCGCTTATGGATAAAACAGAAGTATCAGATGGTAATTGACCTAACGAGGGTGGGATGAGATTGTGTGGGAATGAACTATTTAGTCCTCCAGATCCAGAATTCATCAGTAGTTGTTGCTGCTGCATAGTCTATGGTAGAAAAAGAACGATAGTTTGAGAAATGGCTCGGAGCCAATTTAGTACAATATAAAAAACGAATGTTTGGAACCAACCAACAATCTTTAAATTTCAAAAACAATGCATATATTTATTTGTTTCCATGTTCTACTTATTTATTAAAGCACTTAAACACCAGTACAAAAAGTTACCCAAGTATTTGTGTTCCACAAATTATTGTATACTACTTAGGTGCCAGACTGAAGCTAACTAACTCGATGAAGTTCACAGTAGGTATTTTAAATTATAACTTACCAAAATATGCCATATATACATAGTTTTTAAAGCATGAACACCTAAAACCACACTGCCAAAGAGATTAATAAACAGCCTATAACTCATGACCCGGCAAAATGGTTTACACAGAAAAGGACTTTTTTAAACAAAAGGAATCATAAACAGTACGGCAATCTCTTATTTTGTGGTCGGGTAGTCAGACCTCTAATAGCCTGTTAGGTACACAATGGGGCTTGTGGTTCGTAATCACCAAATTGTTTTTGCAACACAGAAATTAGTCTTAGTAATATAAAAAAACTGTATACTAGCAACATACAAAAGAGCAGGAAGCTTGAGTACTTTGGAGAAACATCAAAACTCTAAATTTCCATCGATCGGGTATGACAAATAAATTTTTGCTTCATTACTACACAAACTAGTCGGTGAACAACCAGAAAATCTCTAACAATGAAATAAGAAAATAATCGACATTTTGTACCTTAAAAAACTTCTGCTTCTGATACAAAAATATTTTAACGATGAAGAGAACGTTGATTAAAATTGGAGTGATCTTATCATGTGTCTATTTTTACTAGTGCTTGAAAGTGAAGTATATCAAAAACCTACACAAAAGTCATTTTCAGATCAAAGTTCATAAAGCTGTCTTTTATTGAAAATGCATAATTAATTACTGATTACAAACTGTTTAACTTAATAGATACAAAAAGAGATTGGAGAGATTAATTAAATGTTTTGTAGTGGTTTCCGAGAAAAAGGTTCGACCACTCTTAAAAAATATGATAAACGGATTCAATACACGACTGATAAAATCTCGGCTTTTACAAATCCTCTATAACAACGGTCTGTAAGGACAATGTGGATAAGAAACTTAATCATAAGGTCTTCTGATTTATTTTCGTAACGTGCATTGCATCTTATTTTATTGAGGCAGAAGCAAACTCAAACTATCCTTTCATTCCGTAAACTATAAAAGCATGTTAGCATATTTATTTTTGTTTACTTAATTTATATTTTATCTAACCTTCGACTGGTAAATAATTGCAATTTACGTCACTTTCTTATGGTACCTTTTGAATGAAGATGTTGGCGAGGAAGACAGCATGAAAACGTTAGATATATCGTATAAGTTACTGCACATTTAAGTTTCTCATTATTTGGCAGTCAGGAGATTTAGTTTGAATTCACAATAGTGTGATCACAAACGTATATCAATATCACTAAGAATGACTAAGTTATTCGTTGTTACGAGATGGAATTATTGGGATCCACATGAATACCTAAAAGTTTTCACACTTAGATTTACCAGAAAGTACTAAATATGTCACTACTTAAGAATGCATAAGACCATCATTAACTTTAAGACAGCTGGAATATAACTTAAAATGCATAAAACAAGAAAAATTCCACATGTCTTTAAAATAGTTTGATAATTCACCTTATTACTTGAAAAAAAGTAAAAACATTAGCAAGAATTTGGAGCTATTACAGAACATGTAGACAACATTTTCACCACCTAGAATAGAATTTGATTGAGACTGTCACATATGTTTAGATTACGTTAAGAAATCAGTCTTATAACCGTTGAATTGACTGACCATGCCATTGTCAAACGTCACTTCAAAAACATACTTCGTGTATGTAAACCCGACTGACTCTATGAAAGTTTGAATTGAACTAACAGCTTTTACGTATTCAACTTGATTGCGGGAGCTACTCTAAGAACTTGCAACACACTTGGTCAAGACATGTGGATAAGTAAACATTAAGATGAATTTTAAATATTTCATTGAATCACTCATAAGTTAGTATTTTCTAACGGCTTTTTCTACATATATAATAACTAATACATTTGACGTAACACTAGGTTTATCAGTTATTAAAATAATTATATCGAACGATTAAACTACACACTTGAGGACATTTATATAGGCTAGTAAATAAAGACTCCAACATTCATGAAGTCTTGCGTACTACATTCACGGATTAGAACTTTTTTTTATCTTGAGTTCATGAAGACAAGTACTCCACCAACTAACATGGCTTGAAAGTGGCATGTCACCGACTTGGAACATCAAGTGCTCACTGAAAAGAAGTAACCATAAAAATTGAGTGGGGTAGATCGGAGTTGTGATTACTTATGCCAAAGTATATTCAAACATACCTTTACGGAAAGCTTGTGTTTCAGTGCGATTACACATATAACTATTAGCCATCAAATCTAAATACAACGTACAAACTATAAATGGCGATTCTATGAAAACAAAGGGTTGGTATTAGTTTTGTCATATAAAACAACTGTCTCACTATCGAAATTTCCAAAACGTAAGATGAACTGGGAGTAGTAGATGCCTTTAAATACTATCATTCCTACAAAAATTGTTTGGAATTGCTTGTCAAAAAGTTTGCAAGTTTCTATAATTAGCTTGCCACAAGATTAACGTCACTACACAAAAGCCATCAAGTAATTTTCTCACTAAAAAATATTAAGGACGTCGGAAAATGAAGTGACAAATCTCCACGGTAAAATTATAGGATTTGGAGTTCCCTAAACAATGGAATTAGATGCAATGAAAAGATGCCAATGAGCAGCTATTCAGATGTGCTACTACCTAAATTCTTCTCAGCATAACACATGTAATAACCTGCAGCGCTACACTGCAAGCAGCTAGGTTACAACTAATACCAACACACAGTTTGATAAGATCACGTGTAAGTCTAAGTTTTCGTTTAAAACGGACTAACACTAAGGCAAATTTCAAGCATAAGTAAAAAGTTAATCAGGGTTCTAAGTTATTTTTCCAAACAATGAATTATCTCTGTGACGGGTAAATGAGGCGGGACAGAAGCTACTAAAAGTGTGCTCTAACAGTGTCAAAAAAAGAACAACTTGCCTTAAAAAAGTCCATTTGATCGAAGGGGGATCCAAGAGCACCATTCAGAAACTTCGGACCTTTAGATTCATCCATTTGTGGCTTAACATGGTCAAGAAACTTGCTTGCAACCTACCCCTATAATGCTACTAAGTTCCGATAGTGTAACTTGCTTCGCGCGGTCTACTGCTGCTGCAACTTGAGATTGATGCTGAAGCTGTTATTGAATTAGATATGAAACAAACCTCTTGAGACAGAAACGGAATAACTTGCACCAGGATAGCATTTAGCCGTTTCGCAATCTCCATCTACAGAAAATAACAACGAAATTAAAATTACCTGTTTGTGCATTTCAACATTAAGTCCATAAGTTATCTCATAATACAGCAGGTAGTGGCGCTGTAACTCGGACTTTTCTTGAACTGCCTTTTCAAACTCACATTTTAAACTAATGCTAATATAAAACAGCCATATCCTACCTGTGGTACTGAGTTTGCAGACTCAGAAGCTCATCTTTTATTTTGTCACAAGCTTCCGGAACAGAAAATTTCGTATGCTGGTTGCTCTGAGTAGAAGACTTAATGAAGATTAACATTAAACAAAACATTAGGACTTACAGAAATTCGCGAAGGATACATTAAAAGTGAGTGACAAACTAACTACTATCCATGAAAACAAATCAGAAGTATCCAACAGCGCGGACAATTAAAAACCGTGGATAACAGGCTTTATAATTTCTCGCTCCATCGTGAAGCATATAAACAAAGACCTTGATTATTAGTTCTACTCAAGCATTTAATAATACGCTACCAAAGAAGTTCAAGAATTATTGTACCACCAAGATTTTGAACAAAGGGAATATTTCCAGTACGCCTTGTAATATCCACTCTTTCTCACGAGTTAGTGCGAAACAGGTTCATTTATTCCTTACATCTTCAATATCCAACATCGTTATCACGAGCTAGCATAAACAATCGATTTCTTTGTGCTCGATTCTTGTTCTTTCGGTACGGTTCCAGGTGTTCGGTAGTGTCCAATGAAAGGGGGATCTAGCCACTAGACTGTCTAATTCTAGTCAGTTGGCAGTTGGTTGTGAGTTTGTATATCTCGAAATTTGCATGAAAACGTTTGTTTCAGGGCAATAGGGTTTCTGGATACCAACATCTATCACATTATCAGACCGGAAATCAGTTAGTTGGAACATGGAGAATAATAAGGATGATAAGGAAAAAAAATTCTAATGCTAATATGGATAGAGTTTCAGAAATTAGTAATATGCAGATAATTTAGTTTGTTGATTGTTAGTGAAGATTGTGAGAGAGGGAGAGATTGTGAGAAGTGTAAGCAAGTGAGAGGAAATAGAGATGACAGGCGAGATAGATTAATTGAGTGATGTGAGCAGATGGCAATGATAACAACTAGCAGGTCTCAAGATATGCCTCATGAACAGCTTGTCCAAGATGATGGTGATAATCCGTGTGTTAGTGCGTGACTGTCAAGTCTCTTCTTAAAGCTGTCCTCTGAGGGACTGTGGTCACCTCGACGGGGAGAGCATTCCAAGTTGCGAGGACTCTCAATGAGAAAACGTGTGCACGAATCTGAGTAATCGCTCTTTGATGTGCAATTTTTCGCCTTTAGCTAGGATATGTCCATTAAGAGTAGTGAGATTAGCCTCAACTTGGAAGAGACACAAAACTATTTATATCGGGAGATAACTTACCGCTACAGCTCACTCCCATCTAGTGGGTTGGTGCAGACTCTCAAACATGAACAACCAGAAGTTTAAACACAAAACTCTTCTGACAGCTTTCTACTACAACTAGAGTCTGATCGCCTTTTCCTACACTGAACAACCATAATGAGCAACATAATGATCATAAAAAACGCACAATGCATAATTTAAAACCTCGTATTTGCCTACCTCTCTTCTTCATTTTAAAACATCTGAAGTAATTAAAATATGTAAATGTAAGTTAGTGGTGAAGCAAACTCTTATTTATGCAAATATGCAAAACGTGCGAAAAAGTTCGGTGTATGTACACATAAAAACAATGAGACAGCTTGGAAATTTTTGAAAAAACAGGTTGGATTATTGGGTATTTTTGGGGTAGAAATACTGTATATACATGTGTAAGAATGTTGGATATATTCTGAACTGACCTTTCTTAATGTATAATTAAATACCAAAAAAGCAATCAAACAACTGTCGGACAGAAAAAGAAAACAGCAAACAGGCTAATTAAATGCTCTACACGCAGTAGTGCTATAGGTATTAGAGAAACGCTCTATCATATCAAAATGAACGTTTACGAAGCGAGCTTCAGACTTTCGGCAGCACACGAAGATATGGGCACACACTCTCGCAGCTCTGTTCATACCAGACCGGCTAAAAGTCTATGCAATGTCAAATAATGATCTCAAGTGATTTAACTGTCAAGCGTTATCGTGTATATCAATATTCTAATTAGTTTCGTATTTGTTTGTTTCACTGGGACTTTGCACTTGTATGTCTGTGATATAAGCCCCGGTCATTTTTAAGTTTCGTCTCTTTCTCCTGGTGTTTAGAAATGGTTGTTCTGGAAACACAGAAATTGAGGGCTTGTTGTAAAATTCGTTATGATTATTCAGAGAACGACAGATTTTCATCAGTTGCTCGTAACTGAACGACAAGCCTTTTGTACCTAAGATGAAATCTAATCGTTTAGCTAGTTGTATTGTAATGTACGAGATTATCATTTGTAGGTCTCGAGAAAACCTTCAAGGTTATAAAGTATTTCTTACGCATTACTCGAAGACTCCTTGAATGGTTTAGTCATATATGTGTATCTTTATGTCAATGACTTTTGGATGTATTACTGTTCTGTGGAAAATTCTATCTTTACTTTGTCATTTAATCTAATAATATCTCATTTCCATGAAGCTGACTGGTTAATGATTTCCTAAAGAATCGTTCAGTTCTGTAAGGACTGTCTCAACTGTACTCATTTGCTGATAGTGGTTGGATCTGGGTAATCCAGAAAAACTGCCATTTAATTCTCTCGTGAGTGAAACCCACGAAAGTCAATGGTGTATCTGAAAAACTGGAACTAGTCGTTTTAGATTTGAGATTTTGTCGGGTTTGCTGTAATGCTATGTCTTAGGGTCGTTGAAAAACAATGTTCAAATAGGATTTCTTGTTCAAACTAACTAGTTTACATTCATTACGAGTGTGCACAAAGTTGGGACCTATTAATGCACCATCACCGTATTCGCAAAAAATTTTGAGCAACATTTCGTTAACTGAAAGCTATATACCAAAGATCTTAGATTTCAGGCAGTGAGATAATGGTCATTTTAAGGATATCGCCTGCAGCAATATGAAACTGGTCATGTGTTTCAACAAATTCGGCTTTCAGAAAGAAAGTCTCACATTTCAAAGTGGTTCTCAAGTCGTCGATGTGAAAGAAAGATTTTGCATTTCTTAGGGACTATATATTAAGGAAGAGCTCATAGACTAGGTATTTCCTAGAATTCAATTTACGAAGGACAGTAATGTGTATAAATGAAACTAGATGTACTTCTTTTATGATCTAAACCTTACTCTCGGGTTTTGAATAAAAAAAATTTAACTAAAAGTGAGGACTTGGCACAGGCGTATCTAAGTGAAGATATTTTATCGTTAAGATACTGAATATAATAATTTCACTTACATGGCTCGTAAGGATTTTTGTTTTGATAGTTTCCGGTAATGAGACAGATGATAAGTCAGCCCCGACTTTTATGCGTGTGTGTAATACGTTGTTGGGATGTTTTTCGAAGCAATATTTCAGCTGCGCAGATTAATTTCGGTGGTTTGACGTGAAATTCTCATGATCATACACTTACTTTCACAATGCTTTCGGTAGTTTCATGATTCTTTCCTCAAAACATCTACATCTGCAGGTCTGCCTTTATCATGTTTTTCAGGTTAAGGAGACAAGGAAACTATGTGCGTGGTCAAACCGGTAATACTCTTGGAGTCAATAAATTAATAAAAGCTCTCGCACTAGTGAATATTTTATATCAACTACAATTTCCGAGATCATTGTTTTCAAATTAAAATCATGAATCGATCATTGTTAGAACACCATAAGAAACCTGTAAGCATTTGACGACCGTTTCGTTCTGGTAGGGGACTTTTCAACACTGCGCATCCAGTGCTTCCAGGTTTCTAATGATGGTCTAACAATGATTGATTTATGATTTCAGTGTGTAAAAATAGTGATCTCTATAATTTAATTGAAAAATCGTACAATGTACCCATTCATGACTAGCTTCGGATGGAAATTCTCGGAGTTCTAGTGAAAAGACGTGACCAGCGGATTTCACAGTGGTCGAATGTTAGCAGTAACCACCGAAGACAAATAGGTGAGGTCGCATAATATCCCTAGATTGGTGAGAGTTAAAAATTAATACCGTCGGATGCAGGCCCGTCGTTCCAGAGTTAGGCAATTGTGTAGGTCCTAAGTTACCGGCTTCGAGTCCTGCGAGTAGCGGGAATCGCGGATGCTCACTGCTGATGAGTTCCACACTAGGACGAAACGGTCCTCCAGTGCTTCTAGGCTTCTATTGGTCGTCTAATGATGGTTGATTTTTAGTGAGTGAGTTGTGATTAACCATGATCACAATTAAATACTTATTACTAGCCCGTCACTGCGAAGACAAATAAATCCAGCATAAAGCATATATTTGCTGGTGATTTCGTGGTGTCTAAAGGACACAGAAATCACACGGAGACAGTGGGCGACTAAGGAGCAGCTACACCAAAGTTGGTAGCAACACAAACAGAAAGTTGTGTGTAAAAATGTGTTATAAACAAGAATTATAGTCAAATAAACGCTAGTAGCATTGGTTATAATAATAAATGTATTCATTTCACCACTTGCATTCTCTTCGTAGAAGTATTGCACTACAGATTCATGATTTAATTGCGTGTAAATAGTGAACTTCGCCAGAAATCATATCGTCAATTGTAACCTTGCTAACCCTGTGGGGATGGTAATACTTGTAAGCAGCCACGTAGTTAACTTGGTTACATGGGTCAGGGTAGCATCAGCAAATAGGCCTAGCGAAAACAATGATTAATGCAAACGAGTGTTAAAGAGGGTTTCTTCGGTTTCTAATGGCAGCTAAAACCGCTGTGCCAGCATGGGAACAGTTTGCTCGCTCAGATTGCCACAGTTCTGATGAGGTTGGAAAAAATATTTTTAACGAGGAGTCTTTTGATCATATATATTGGTTGTTTAGTGCGGAATAAAATCGTCGCTAACACTAAGTGCAGCCCAATACGAAATTATAGTCTCTGGTTACTGTTAAAATAGAGCTTCCTCTTTGAAAGTAACACTTTGGAGCACTGAAACGAAATGTGTGGAAGATTATTTAATGCTTACCTGAGAAAATAGGTTATTGTCAGATGAGTTGTAAACGTAACAGTAATGTCCTATAAAGAGTAGTCAGTGTAAACAAAAATTGCGAACTGAAAAATTTAGACTTTATCATTTTTAGGACATAATACGCTTTGTTTACAATACGCACCAGTTTCATGAGTAACTCTGAACTTGCATAGCACTAAAGGAATTGATTTCATGACAGTACGTCGAGAAATCGTTCACAATAATTTACCATTTTCTATTCAACAAAGGTTGAAAAACTGTCTCCTAACAGTTTGAAACTTGGATGTTTTTTCAGCGATTATTGTGACACTTGCCATGACGAACGTACTTATATCAATCACATAAGGCCTTTTTCGGTCATGGGCTAAAAAAGTCACTGGATTCGTTCTTGATGTAAACAGGGGACGTCTTTTAAATTCTACAAACATTTTCTTTTTTTACGAACGGAGTAAGTTGAAGGATTATGCAAACTTATCCTGTTTCACTGTGAGCGATAGAAAAACATTTATCTTGCTTGTCGAAATTCACTGAACAACACCTAAAAGTAATCTGAAAACAAAAAAGTTTGTTCCGCAACAGCCGTCTAAACTGTTCATTTATATGAACCGAATTATTTCGGTAACCAGAAGCTTGGCCAGTGGCTCTGAACGTTTTCCCAACTGAACTCATACAATCTAAATTACGCTCAACCAAGCTGAAGTACTTTAAATACGTAATGGCCACCTTGAAAGCCAGTCCTCAAGGTCTTGGTGACGAGAGGGAGGCTGGTTTGACGTGGGAATGACCTTAGAGTTTTCTGTTGAATTATTCTGATCCTGATGAGCCGTGCTGATCCGGATTATGGGTCTTGTTTTAGCGCTTCAGCATAGTTATCCAAGCACGAAAAGTAGTCCGGATTCAGTTTTTAAAGTTTTTAGAGACTGAAGTTCCCCTTGAAACCTCTCAACTCCCATCGGAATTTGTTGATCTACATCACTTACCAACTGAACTTGCTCTTAATGTTCTGTCGAGGCTCAATGCCACTGATTTGTACCTAGCATCTTGTGTTTGGTATGATTTAGCTTACGATGAAGTGTTATGGAAAAGGTATGTTCTACTCCTGAGATAATTTTCAGTTTGTGCAAAGCCTCATGGCCTTCTTGCTCGGCGTACAAGAATGGTGTACTTTATTCTGAACTATCATTCCGTCGATTGTATCTTAAGTTGGATGAGGCGCGTTTGACGTTTAACGCAGATGCATTTGAAGTGAGTTCGTTTTATCTAAAGATTTTCAGGGTATGGGGTACATCTTCAGAAATCGTCTTGTGGATGATAAAACTGATGATCTTGTAGAATTTTTCCACAATTCTTCCGGATTCGATCCTTTCCAAAAGCGTCGGTTTTTAGAAACGAGGTATAAGTAACTTTCAGATTTTCATAAGCTTAGACCCCAGGTTTTACGCGGACTGATGAACTTAAAAGACTTCCGGAACCATTCGTTACCATGTGCATTAAGAGGACTTTTTACTGAACTACCAGCCCCATCAACTGAACCTAGTGCATCAGCTTTTATTCATCTGTTGGTCAGTTTGTTTTCTGAGAGATATACTGAATGCAATCCAAACCTCGGAATCACAAGTGGTATGTCTTTTAAGCACTATTCATTTTGCACTTTTTATTGTTCATATCAAATCACGAATAATTGGCGTGTGCTATAATGTGTTTGTGGAAGTAAACTACTGAGAATCAATAGTTTTTCAAACTTGTTATCAATCGGACTTGATCAGCTTTCACATTCTAAACAGAAAACTGCCAGGTTTTTCGATGCAGTAATAAAGTTAGAATAGCCCATATAAGTACAACTCTTCCCAGCGTTATATGTATCGTTCACGAAACAATTTTCACTCTAATTTCTGGTATATAACAATCATTTGCATTTAAATGTTAAATGAAATACATGCTACTATCAACCGATGATCTGTAAGATATAACTCAAACCTTGCAAGTTGAAAATAGTTTAGGATTTTACTCATATAGCATACCTATATACTTGTTTAACTAAGCGCTAAATTAAATAAGCATCAAAAATAATGTGATGAAAAGAGCATGAGGTAAAGGCATAGTCAAACAGGAGTGATAGCACATACAAGATAATTTCATCACAGGGCTGGTTCCCAATCTAACCGGATAATATATATCAGTAGGCAGCTAATATGATTAGAAACGCAACCGCAGCTGCTACCTTGAAGTGGTGGTCGGGCTTGCCTTTCATGACGACCCAAATGAACTATATTGGCTAGAATACCTCTTCCTTTAGGCCCTACCATTCCAGGCAGGTCAGTTGGAGAACAGTAAGGCTAAAAGCAGCAACTCAAGGTCTGAGGCCGAAGTCGTACTGCTGGCCGTAGAAGTGTGTAACATCAGTAGGGTGTCACCCTCGGACAACCGGCATCTGAATTGATGCTGTCTTCCCCCCAAGGAAGGGAGTGGTTAGAAAACGTCGACCCTAAAATTGTCACTCCCCACTTTACATCACGGAATTCCGTTTCCGACGTTAAGGGCTTTTGAAGAGCGGAGCTAACACGTCACAAACTTCCGATAAAAAGTCCATGCGTGACCGGCCTCAAGCAGTTGTCCGCTAGGATCTGCCATCATACTCCTGGGTCACTAAGACGAACGTTGATCCAACTTCTTCAGGTTGCTCAAGAAACATCCACAATGTGGGCAGCCGGAAAGTGACATCCGCCCTCATACCCGTAAAATTACATGAGATCAGCTTGCTCACAATCAAGTCCCTCCCACACCTGTTAATAATCTTCTTATCTCTACCACTAACCTTTCTTCCATTCTTTTATCATCTCGCGCCACTGATGGTAATGCTTTGAGTACTCGAAATGTTGTTCCTGGTCTTCTGAAACTGCACTCTGACCTACTTGTTGGAGCATTTAATGTTTAAACCTTGTGTCGAATAGGACTACAGACTTCCTTATCAAGGACTTTAGAATCTCGCACCATCAATGTATGTTGCTTCTTCGAAACGCGCATACAAGATCCGAATGGCGTCATTGATTTGACCTCACTTTGTCAAAATAAAGAACTGTCGCAATCTACGCTTCGTGGTTATGAGCGCCCCACTGCTGCTCCTTGTGTCCTCGCTGGTGTAGGTATGGCATTGAACCCTAGGGTAGAACTAGCTCAGACTGTATCCCAGTGAACAGTCGCTTGTGTGCTGTTCGACTTAGCAGGACATTAAGGATTTGAACAGATACTGACACTCGCCGTTGATTCTTCATTGTCTCTGCCTACGCTCCCACTGATTGCGGTTCAGATAAGGTAAAAGATGAATTTTGAGAAAGCTAGACACACCGATGTAGTGTAATAGTGGTTGGTGAGTTTAATGTTCAAGTAGGTAGACTAAGCTAAACTGAATGATACCTAGGTTGATCTTACGGTGTGGTGGCACAAAAAGCATTTCGGCAACCATCTACTGCAGTTATGCACAGATAACTTCTTAGTTATGGCGAATAGCAACTTTAAGCATAAAGACAAACATCTTTTTACATGGCGTTCACTGCAAGGAAACCCTTCAGAATTCTGCGTAACGATATCAACTCCAAGAGTATATTTCAAGAACTAGAAAAACACTTGGACAGCCGTGTAAGTGATGCCCACCCTGAAGCAGATTGTAATGATATCCAAAAAGCTGTGGAAACAGCAGTGATATCTGCTAGTAAAGTAAATCTTAAAGTTAGGGAGAAATAGTGGATTTCAGTAGCATCTACTGAACTGATTTGATGCTCGAAAACTCACTCCGTCTGGCTCTGAGTACGATGAGTTGCGGAGTCAGCTCGGGCGCAGGCTGCTAAAAAGCCTACACAATGATCGTGATTAATATGGTTAGAAAAAGCAAGAGAGATGGAAAAGGCAGTGATGATAGGTAACAATAGACAAATGTTTCGCCCTATCAAAGAAACCAGTATTAGAAATCCATCTGTTGCCGAAGACATCTTGGAAGAGGAGATTGAATCGATGGACAGAACACTTCAGGGAACAATTCAGCAGGCCTTCAGCCACACTTCGGTTGCCCACGATCTCCAGTCATCCTGAATGGCAAATCAATATAAGTCTTTTGAGTAGTAGTATTTCTCGACCTTAATGTAGCATTCAACTCTGTTGATCGTGAGGTTCTGTGGCAGTGTCTGTCATTGAAAGGTGTACCAAAGAAGTACATCAACCTTATACAGGCTCTGTACTCGAACATCACTGGTCGGGTAAGATCTTATGGTGAACTGTCATCGGAATTAGTTAATTCAAGTGGTGACCATCAGGGCTTTCCACTCTCTCCATTCTTGTTTAACTTTCTCATAGATATGCTTTTAGAGTTAACATTATCATCGTCAGGCCTTTCAGGTGTGGACCTTCTACCAGGAGACACGCTTGTTGACTTAGAATATGCTGATGATATAGTTCTATTTGGTGAAGACGCTGACAAAATGCAGTCTTCTGACTCCCCTAAGCAACAATGTAAGCATGTTTGGGATGTGGTTCTCACCTTCGAAATGCAAAATGTTTCTTCAAGATTGGCTTGCGACCTCACCTGATCTAGTGATAGGGAGTGAAGTAGTCGAACGTGTAGACCGCTTGACGTATCTTGGGTGTCTGTCTCATCAGTGGTTATGGCCTGGTGTGTGACGAAATCTCAGCACGGATACAGAAGGCTCGACTAACTTTTTCCAACCTTCGTCACTTATGGCGTAGGAGAGATATCCGTCTGCTAACCAATGAACGAGTATACTGCACAGCAATTCTGTCCGTCCTGGTATGCAGGGTTGAAACGTGGCCAGTAAGAACAGGATATTCGTAGGTTACTGTTATTTGACCATAGGCGTCGTAGAAACATTTCTCATATCCTGGGACTATCGAGTAAGCATAACTAGAGTTAGGAAAAGGGTGCTAGGTAAGAGTGGCAGATCAATAGATGAAGTAGTAAACGTTCATCAGCTGAGGTGGTAACCTCTAATTTCTTAGAAATTTTGGAGTAGAGAAAGTGATGTAATATTTACTACAAAATAAATAAAGCATTGACTTTTTGTTCTAGTTCATATTATCCTTGTTGAAATTAGGTTATATAGACATACTGCATATTTCGATCACTTGCTACGTAATCACCAGTCATATGTATTGTAGCCATCGTGTAAGCAAATTTTACATGGTGATGTCAGAAAGTAAGCAAATCAATGCGTTTCAGACTATAAACGTGGTTCAATTGAGATACTTCCTCTGTTGGTAATTTACATAACCTAACTAAATGTAATCATTCCTGTCTATTCGATTTTGATATTTACATCAAATTTAGTGGTGTTACATGTAATAGCTTCAGGATAGTCGTAACTAAATCTGTAAATCTGTTAAATCAATTACAGAGCGAATAGTATGTAATGAAAATGTTTCTGAGCTTACTTGATAAATCCTAAATGGTTTTATCGTTTTAGATGAGACCTATCTACTGTGCTTTTCATTGATAATGTTATCCGTTGATCTCTGGAGTCCATCCATAAAAAACAAAATGTCTAAACGTGAATTTATACGCAATACAAGGCAAGTGGTAACTACAACATCAGATGAGTTTTTGGGAAATCTATATGATAATGTGTATATTATTGGACATGTGGTATTGATTGATTGTTCTGGACCTCCTTTCCGTCATCCTGAAGCTAAAGCAATCCTCATAAAAAACCAACGTTTGTTATTACCAGCTTTTTAAACAAAAAAAAAAAAATTAACCAGTTTTCATTTCATTCATTGTGACTTATTTTCATTATTTCATGCAATTTCATTAAACATGTACACAATAATTCAGTTTAAATTCGTTGTTTTGTTGTTTTATTTGAATTGTTCTTTAATTTTCCAATTGTTTATCTGTTGGTTAAATGATAATTGATCAATTTTGTATCAAAATGATGACGGTGAAAAGTTATTCATGTTTTTTTTTCTTTTTTCATAATTGTTTGCAAAACAAATAAGATAAATGGTCGGTAAACTGATTGCATACACTGTAATATTTATTATCTAAGGCTCATAACATTGTATAAAAGTGGCGAAAAAACAAACATTGTGTCAGTTGATACGTTGAGTATTTTATCATGAATCTTTTATTTCAAAAGAAAACTCATCATTGATATTTCCTCTATCATCATTACATTGAAAGTTAAATATTGTTTCTTTACATTATTTTTTAGAATATACCTATTTTATTTATCAGATTGCTGATTTTTACAATGTGAACTTTTTCAAAATATATTTATAATTGGTCAGTACTAAATTACTACTTATAGTTCATATAAGTATTGGTTAGACCTATTACTTACATAGTTACTTTACTATCATGTAATATTTGCAATGCTATAGTTTGGATTTTAGTTAGCTTTACTATAATTTGGATATTTATGTTGACAGAAATTACTGTACAGTCTGTTTCTAAAATCATAATGGTTTTAGAAGTAGTAAGCTAGCGTCTTCGTACGTGCAAGTGAAGTAAAACACTGATCTTTCTTTGTGCAGCTATAGGAAATCAAGTCATTTTAGTTGTAATAAAAATGATATTTTTAGTCTTTTGCTGTATGAATATTGGACACTAAGGTTTGATTTGATAACTTTCAAATAAATTGAGCATTAGGCAGGTTAGTATTTTTATGAACCAGTTAACAATAGGTATTATTAGCAAAGCTTAATCACAAAGTACAGATTACTGTACTCCGGTTTGAACCATACTTAGTGTGAGAACCAGTGATATTGCGTGACTTAAAAATCCCAGGTCATTCAGCCATAAGCAATACAGAAACAGATACATATCTGCATCAGTTCGATCCTCCATACTGCCCCAGCTCAGTGGGATGAGATTATAAAAAATGAATTCTAAAGTGACGGGAGTGATAGTAAAGAGAACTAGGCGTGTAGAATATTAGTGTAAGAAGGATTTATCCAAGGAATAAAAGGTAAAAATACTGAAACTCAGTATCTTAGAAGAAGTTAAAATGGATTCATTTGCTCCATCGGAACTAATTACAAGGCATGTTTCTCAAAGTTGCTAATCGTGTTTATTGTTCTGACAAAACAAAGTAATCGATGCCTATCACGATAGCTCAGACCAAAAATTGATGATTTCGTCAACTGACTACACTTGATTTTGAGGGCCTTCTTATTTTCATTCTACTCCAGTAAATGATGTCAGTGTTCAGTTTGTCTGTAAATCGAGCTATCACTCAAGTTCCGCTGTTTTCAGATTAATGCGTTGTGTTCAACTAATATTTATATACTAATCACTAAGCTGACATTCTGCTCTGCATTATTATTTGAATATCTATTTAGTACATGACCTTCATTCAGTAAAAAAGTAAACAACATTGCTCTTAATTTGCTTTTATTATTTATTTTAATGACCTTCATTTTTCAACAAAACTTTTCGTATCACGTGTTCACCTTTTCCTATTCTCGCTTGGTCTTTTTATGGGAGAGGCAAATTTGAGCTATTTTTAGATACAATAAACAAACTTATTCAGTTAGATGTAGTTTTTTTTAACACGTAACATAGAGAGGCTTTAATCATGCAAACAGAAACATTATCTTTAAGTGTTACCTTCAAGTGTTCAATAGAAAAATGTCTAAGTATGTTTAAAATGACATTACTACAGGTTTACTATTCAATCTACAATTAGTTCATTTTGATTTCATCGTACTTTCGTTTAGCGATTGCTTAGTTATTGTTTCACAGAAGAATTGGTAGATCAGTTAAGACTTAACCGAATTTACTAATGATGAACTTTCTTAATAATAATAATGATAATATTATATATATATTTATATAAAAAATTTTCAGTGTTTTATCAAGCTCTATAGATGAAGATGTTCTTTTAGATAATTGTACTAATGATCTTATTTTTTCCTGTTTACAAATTAATGGAGTCATATGGTTAAATAAGTCGAATTATATATTTTTTTCACATAGAACATTGATTAACTCGGCTTACTCATCATGTGTATTGATAGTATGATAATAAAAAGTCACTTAAATTAAAATATGCTTTTAATCTTTCCATGTACTACTTAGATTTCTGTTCACTATTATCAAGATATACTTCAGTGATGTACAGGTTTAGCTTTCTATCATCCATCGAATGAAAATATAATTCGTACAAGGAAACAAAGATGAGTTGTATTATTATTTGCTTTTTTTCTTAGTCCTTTAAAAAATAAAACTGTCAAAGCGTTTACTTTTGTAAGATATGCAAAAGAAAAATAGTTTTTATGTATGATCATTGTATCACGACTTCTGATCTGTTTTAAATGCCTTTCTTTACACACAGAACGTGAGTCTCGTGATTTAACTGCATGTGATGACAATCGATATTAGCAAGAGAATATAACATTGAAAAATTTTTTCTGGTGTCTAACGTAAAGTAAGCAAACAGTTTTGATATTTAGTTGATTTCATCAGTTGAATACTGAACCTACATTAATAAAACTCAGTATCTATTGTGAAGGTCAACGTGCATCAATAATGCAAAATGCGTTAAAGTAAACAACATCGTAAAAGTAAACAAGCCCATGGGGATCAAAGCCAGATTAAACTAATATTCTTGAAATAATTAGGCTTTTTGTCTTGTCTAACTATCGTTTTTCTTTATTGTACTATTTTTTTCACATTGACTTTACAATTTTATTTTCAAATTACATTAAGACAGTAGGTGTTCGTAGTTTTGTAGCGCATCCTGTTTTTAATATGCAATATGCGTACAGCTTAGGGCAATTTTCCATTCATTTTGTAGGTGAGTACTTTATATATATGTATACTTATCACTGAGGATTATTATTACTTACACAAGTAAAAAATCTCTAAAGAAAACAATTATTTATGATTTGAAAAGAAACTAAACTGAACGAACAGTTCAATAATTTTCTGATTTATTGGTCAATTAGAATTCTTCTAAGTTGATGGTATATTCAGTTAATAAATAGTTTTTTTGCTGATGACGAAATTCTAAGTAATAGAGCTTCACTTAAGTTAAACTACGTGATTGCAATTGACGCTCTGTAATTATGTTCACATATTGAAATAACTGTGGAAATTTGGATATAAAGGTGGCTTATAGTATGTTTTGATCATTGTTATTTACTGACTAACTCAAGAAATGATGAGATATTTCATATTTTTGCAACTAAAAGTCAAAGATTATTCTGTGATCTTATTAAAGATTTGTTCTTTCCTCAAAAGTCAACACTTTTTCGACATAACAACCTCAAAAATTCATTCAAAACAACAAGAAGAAAAGACAGTTTGGGTTCGAAACGTCAGCTATGTTTCTTATTACCATTGTGGTGTGAGCTACTTATAAGTAGTATATGACGCGAGTGTCAACGTAATGTCTGTAGATCAAGATCAAGAAAGGAAGAGTTAGAACACAATGGAATTTGTATGAAACGCATGAATAGTGACAATGGATTGATGTTTTGCAACAGGAACAGTCCAGTTCGATATGATGAACTGATATTTGGCAAATTAACGATTTACGATATGGTTTTCCAATTTTACTGAGTAACTCTGTAATTTCCGATAAATACAATCTGGTTGCCCCACCTGTGTTCTCGTTCACTACACCGTTATTCATTTCATTATCAATCAAACTGATCTCGTTAGTTAAAAATTACAAAAAATCTGATCAGAACTCCTTTCATGTCTATCTCTCCGTTTTAAATCCCACGAGGTACTTCCATAATCACTCGGGTACAAATTTTCCTTCAGTTTGTAATGTATTTACATGATTAAAATCGCTCGCGATTTACTAGTCCAAACATATTTCTTATCATTGTTATCTAACTGTTATAACTTGAAAGAAAACAATGATATGGTCTCCTTTTATATCCGAGGGAAAACTGGTACTTGCTACTTGTTGTAACTGGACAAATACTATTATGACTAAGTACAAGAGAGGAATCAAGGTTTTAGATAAAGTCCCAACAACAAATCAACTATTGGTCCAACAATTATTTCCAAATTATACTGAGTTATCTGGAATTTACTTATCAGGTCTTTAATGGAATCTGAATACATTGAAGTGAACAGTGGTCAACATAAATTAATCAACAACTTACTACATGTAGATGATTTACAACATCAATAGATTAGAGTGCTTGAACTAATAAATGTAATTAAATTACTAACTTACATATTGGTTCCTTCCTGAGAGTGAAATTTCACTTTTACTAAATGATACATTTTATAAATATTTCAACCTTTAAGCAACTTGAACTGCACTATTTTCAATGGATAGCATTTTTGTGCTTAATGTTGCAATGACACTTGTCGTGATTGCGATTGACTATTATCAGCACTACATACATACTAATTACGAGCTCGTCACAGAGAAGATAAAATAATTCATAGAAGTGAATAGATAGATAGTTCAGGTGACGACGTGACCGAATGCTGAAGCGACATTTTGCATTTCGAACATGCTTGCATTGTTGCTTAGGGTGGTCAGAAGACTCTGCATTTTGTCAGCGTCTTCACCAAGTAGAACTATTTCGTCGGCATAATCTAAATCAACCAGTGACTCTCCTTGTAGAAGATCCACTCCTGAAAATTCAGACGAAGATAATGTTACCTCCGAAAACATGTCTATCTATGGCATAGTTAAGTGAGAATGGAGAGAGAAAGTGGACAGCCCTGACGGACACCACTTGAAGTAATCAATTCTGATGTATAAACTGTGTATGCTTGAAATAAATGATTCTAGCAATGAAGGGTGGTTTACGAACTTTCGAACTCAACAAGCCAGAAAGGAAAAAGGTTCTGAAACAATAGAAACTAAGATTATTAAACCAGGGATAGTTGGTTAGAGAGTCATTCAATGCAGATTGGTGTTTTGTTTACAACATGTGACATAACATTCGTCAACAGCTAGAGACAAAGTAATCACTTTTCATATTTTCTTCTGATTCAGTCAAAGCTTAGTCTATATTATTAAAATTACCAAGTTTCGTCAAAGAATAACAAACTGGATGCTGTGTGAGATGATTTTATACGTTTTGTTTAATAATTATTTACATTATAGGGTTATGGAGATTGTTCAGTTTCGTTGATATCACAAAAACGATTATAGACGTGGTCAGTGGAGTTTAACTCCATCGAGTGTGAGACAGTCACCCATCGAAGACAATGGATGAGGTCGCGCAATACCATGAACTGATTGAAGTTAAGCAATAACACCATTGTATGCCAACTCAATTTACTTATCTGGTCTATAATCGAAA